CCAGCTACCCAGGAGGCTGAGGCAGGAGGATCACTTGAGCCCAGGAGTCTGAGGTTGCTGTGAGTGAGGCTGACACCCCGGCACTCACTCTAGCCTGGGCAACACAGTGAGACTCTGTCTCAAAAAAAAAGAAAAAAAAAAGAAAAGAAAACTGGTATATTCATGGAGTAGAGCACTACTCAGCAACGAAAAGAAGGGAAACTATTATTACATATTGCAACACGTAATAATGAATCTATATAATAACAGATATGTTCTATAAATTATTATCCATATATTCCATACATCATAACGAATCTCAAAAGCATTATGATAAATTTTAAAAGCCAGATACAAAAGGCTACGTACTCCATTTATTTTACATTCTTTTTAAATCCTTTTTAGAGTTGGGGTCTCGCTCTGTGCCCAGGCTGGAGTGGGGTGGCGTCATCACAGCTCAGTGTAGCCTCGAACTCCTGGGCTCAGGCGATCCTCCCGCCTCAGCCTCCCGCGTAGCTGGGACTGCAGGCGCCACCACATTCAGCTAAGGTTTTTTGTTCTATCTTCTGAGCGATTTTCTCAGTTCAATCTTCCGATCCCATCAGACTTTAGAAATCCCAGATGCGACATTCTGGACTGGCGAGGGCCCGTTCTTGCTCTGCTCGCTTTCTGGTCCAGGTTGATGGTGCATCATGTTTTTGCATTTCCTTAAGGATAACTGGAGTGGTCGGAATGTTCTTGACACTGCCCTCTGTTCCCTGCACTTGCTGTGTCCTCCCAGGTCCTCATGCCCGGGCGTTGCTGGGCTCGCCCCTGTGTCCGTGGGCTCGGGTTCCTTCCCACAGAACGGCGGGGCTCTGGGTGCGCTGCGTAAAATCTGACGGACCCGTGCACGGAGCGCCACGCGCCCGGGGAACGCTGCGTCAGAAGTCGTGGTGAGAAAAGCTGATTACAAAACTGTATCAAAAGTAAAAATGGTCCCGGGCGCCAGTGGCTCTCCCCTGCAATCCCAGCACTCTGGGAGGCCGAGGAGGGAGGATCATTTGAGGTCAGGAGTGTGAGGTCGCAGTGAGCTGTGATGACACCACTGCACTCTAGCCTGGGTGGCAGAGTGAGTGAGACTCTGCGTCAAAAAACAAACAAAAAACAAAAGTAGAAATGTACTAACACGCAGTGGGAGACCTGGAAGGAAGTGCCCCGCGCGTGGCTGTCCCTGCGGGGCCACCCCTCCTGCCTGTGTCCTGGGTGCACATCTCCTGGCCCTCATGCAGCCCCCAGCTGTGGTCCCTCCGCCCTGGGGTCCCGGCCACCCTCCCTTCCCCATGCAGCACCTCCCCCACCAGATCGTGAGGGGGTGTCTGTCTGATGCGCCACTTGGGGATGCCTGGGTTAAGGTCCTCTGGCGCTGTCCCCAGAGTCCCCAGCAGACAAACCTGCATCCCAGGGGTTCTGCAGCCTGCCCTGGAGCACAGGGGACCCTGGGACAGGTGGAGGGCAGCCCCCAGACTGCTACACGGGAAGGCTCAGCCCCGTCAAGCTCCGCTGTTTACGAGCCACCAGTGTCAGGCAAAACCTGAGCTGGGCAGTTGTCAGCCAGTTGAAAGCAGGACCATCGTCATAGGGGAAGAGACCTCAGCAGAGATCACTCCCAGCCCGGCACAGACAAGTGGGGGGGTTGTAGCCAAGGGGCAGGTAGGGGCAGGGATGGAAAATCACAAGGAGGAGGAAACATCTGGGCCAGGGGTTCTGGCTAAACCCACCCAACTGGGTTCCTGGGAAAGCGGGCCTGGGGCCAGGCATCCCCGGGAGGCAGTGGAGGCCAGGGCCTGATCAGATAGTGGGGTGATCAGATAAGGAGGGGCTCTGGCAGTATTCAAATGGGCCTTGGGGAAGGCTCAGAGCCTGCAGGTCGTGGGCTCAGCTATGTCACTAGAGGTGGCCCAGCCCACCCTGAATTGGTTCTTCCATGTCTCTTCCTGCTAGCCCCAGACTCCCACCTCCCAGGGCCACCTGGGACGGCTGGGCCTCTGCCAGCCAGGGACTGTCTTCAGGCAAACAAGGACACTGGGACAGATGGGCCGGGACCACTCCTTTCCCCACCCCAGCTCCAGGAAGAACCTGTCCTTTCCTGAAAACTACCTGGGTCAGGAGGGACTGACGCCCCCTCTCCCCCCAGCCCTGTCACAGCAGGTCATTTGTGCAGAGCCAAGCCCACCCCTCGCCCCTCCACCCTGCTCGAAGCACGGGACTGAGGCTGGAGGCCCCAACATCAAAACCCCCTGTCTGTGTCCCCAGAGTGGGGGGGCTGGTGGAAAGGAGAGAGGGTGGGAGAGGGGGCAGCCCCCACCCACGCAGAGGCAGATTTTTATGACCTTTGCCTCTGACCACTGCCTGAACCAAAACAGCACCCCAGCACCACCGCCCCCCCCACCCCGCAGGGTTTTGGAGGGGCTGGTAAGCAGGGGGATCTGGAAGGCAAGCGCTCCCTAGAGCACCCCTCTTCTGGAGGCCTCAGCCTCCAGAAGGCTCAGCAGGGGTGTGGCCGCAGCAGTGGAGGGACCCTGGTGGGTTGGGGTTGGGGCAGCAGGACCAGTGTCAGCTCTGCTCTGGGGACTTGAGGGGGAGAGGCCCATGGGTTGGGGGCACCACAGGTTCCAATGCCCCTAAAACAGTGGGACAGCATGGGTGGCAGTGGAGAGGTGGCTGGGGATGGGGCCAGGTGCCCAGCAGGAACAGCGGGCAGGATGTGCAGATGAAAGACTGGGGAAGGGAGGGGAGGGGGGAGCAGAGGAGAGTGCCCATCTGGAAGTCACATCCCCAGGGAGAACTTTCTAGAAGGAGGGCATGACCATCAATGTCCCAGGATGCTGGGAGGCTAGGAAAGATGAGGCCCCAGGGCGTGCATGGGGTTTGGTGACCCTGCGCCCACCACATGGAACGGGACGGGGTGGGGCAGGGAGGCTCCGTGGGGGTCTGGCCGCAGGGGAGGGGCAGTGTCCTCCTGAGGGCGCCTGGGGCCTCCTGGCTCAGGCCTGCCAGGTCCCCTGGAAGGGGGGACAGTCAAGCGCTCCCCTTGCCCCTTGGCCGCAGGACCAGCAGGTGGAGGAACAGTGGCAGGGGTCCGCGGCGGCAGCTAGCTGGGGGCAGGGGCTGTGGAATGGCATGCGGGAGGCGGCTTACCGGAGCGGGCTTGCGGACTGGGGCTGTGGCACAGAAAGGGTAAAGAGCTCCCCAGGGGGAGCCCTCGGTGGCGGCCCCCACACCTCGGCCTGCAGCCCAGCCCCCACCGCTCTGCAGGGGAAGAGGCCGTGTCACCCAGGCGCCGGGTGGGTGGGGGTGTCCGTCCTTCCAGAATATCAGGAAGGCAGCGGGGAAGAGGCGGGAACGCGGGGGAGCGAGGGGAAGGGGCGCCCCCACCCTTGGCCGCGCCCCCTCCGCACACCCCAACGCGTCCCCGCGTGGAGCCGAGGCCCCGTGACGGCCATCTGCCCGGCGGGGGTCCACGGCGAGGGGCCGCGGGGGAGGGGGCTGAGTGCAGGGTCCGCGGGACGCGGCCGTGGCGCCCGGCGCCGCCCGTGCGCCCGCGCTGTGGCGGTGTCCTCCCGGTTGTTTGGGTCGGCAGGGCCGCGGCGGCGGGGGCGCCCGGAGGGGCGGGCCGGACCTCGCTCCGCTGCCCCCCCGCCCGCCGGCCGCCCCGCCGCCCCCCTCCCCGCCGTGCAGCGTGTGGCTGGCGCGGACGCGGGCGCGGAGCCGGCGCCGACCGACCGGGAGCCGAGCGCGGAGCGGCGCCACGCGGTGAGCACCTGGCGGCGGCGGGAGGGGACGCTCCGGAGCCCACCCGGCCGGGCAGACGGCGGGGCGGGCGCGGCAGGGGCGGGCGAGACGGGTAGCGGGGAACTCGCGGGGCCCGGCGCTGGGCGGACGGGCTGGGGGCCGCGTGTCGCCGTCCTCACCCCGTCGGAACCTCCGTTCCCAACCCTGCGATGTGCCCTCCTGGCTCGGACGGTCGGGTCGCCCGGTCCTACACGTCGGGCAGACTGGGGTGGGGGGCTCGGCCCCTCCCCCATCCTCAGGTCCCCGGAGCGCGGCCTCGGCAGGGGGTGTCGGTGCGCGCCCGGCGCTGTCCTGGCGCCACAGTCCGCGCGCGACTCGCTCCTGCCTCCCGCCGCCCCCTCCCCACGGGCGCGCAGGCGGCCGCGGGTGCGCCCAGAGGCGCCTGCTCCCCGCTCCGACGGGCCCCTGCGCCCTAGGGGCCCCCCATTAGTGCCCGAGTTTGCTCGGGCTGGGATGAGGGGTGTCTGCACCCGGCCTGCCCGGATCTTTTTCCGCGGCCCACACTTGTGACTTTGACCCGCTGGTCACTGCCCTGCCTTGCTCCAGTCTCTCCAGCGCCCCCCACTCTCCGCCGCGGGGGTTTATGCCCCACCCCAACCGACTGACCCCTGACCTCTCGGTGCCCGGTGCCCGCATCCTCAGAGGACCGGCCAGGCTGCTTTTCTGTCGCCTGTGTTGGGGGCATGAGGGTTGGGGTCAGAGCGCACCCTGGCCCGCATCCCAGGCCTGCCCCGCCCCCATGGGGGGAGGACGCAGGAATCAGGCTTTGTCAACAGCCTGTGGCCACGATCCACCCCTGGGCCCTGACCTTCCGGCTGCCTTCTCTGGTTTTACATAAACAGTCCCCCTCACACCCCACAACCCTCAGGGGCTCCCCAAAGCGTCCGGGAGGCCCTTTCCCCACTCACTCGGATCTGGCCTGAGCTTGGGGAGCTCCATTGCTACCTGCCTTGGCCAAAAGTCCATCCACCTGTCCTGGGGGCCTCTGCCCAGCTCCAGGTCTGTGGGGTCCGTCAGCCACCCCCAGGAGAAATGGGGGGGCGCAGCCGGTCTCAAGCACCTGAGTCGTGGGTTCTGCCAGGGTTGGCATGGGTGCCAGCTCAGCAAGCGACCTTGCTGTGACAGGTGGCTCCAGGCCCCAGTGGCTGATGTGGTCCGTATGGCCGGGTGCTCGCTCTAGGCAGAGAATAGAGAGGAGGGGTGTGTGGTAGGGGCCCTCATGGAGCCCTAGTCCTTGGGGGCCCACCAGGGAGCTCCCACACCTGGTCTCTGAAGCTGTGGCGGGGGAGGGTGACAAGGTGGAAAGAGGCCAGGCCTGGTGCTGCGGCCAGCAGCTTGGGAATGACACCCGCACATCCGCTGCCTCCCATCCCAGGGTTCATCACCCATTCAACAAATACCCGTCCTGGGCCAAGGGGCTGCCTCTGGGGGTCAGTGTCCCCCCGTGGGGGGCTGGGCACAGTGAACAGACCCATCATCACTTCTTCCCTTAGGGTGGCAAAGCCTCCCCTCGCCTCCCCCTCCCCATGAGTGGTTTCGGTCCCTCAGGGCCCCGGGGATCTCCGCTGGGAAGTTCAGTTATTTGCCCCTGGTCGTGGGGCCAGAACGGGGCCTCTACTATGTGTGCCCTATTCTGTGGGTGCTCCGAGCAGAGACCCTAGAACCCCCACCGTGCACACAGAAATCAGCCGCCCCAGACTTACCCCCTGTTCAGAGAAGTGTCTAGAAATCTCCTTGCCCACACTCACCTACTGCGCACAAGGCACAGAGGGCTCCCTGCTCACTCCATGCCCAGAGACCCCGTGGGGAGCCACCCCCATGACCCCAGGGGACCCAGGGCGAGGGGTGGCCTGCCTGTGCCCGCTTGTGTCCATTGGGCTGTGCAGAAGCTCCCAGCTGCCCTGCTGGGGGGCACGGAAAGTCCTCCTCCCTCCTCCTCCTCACACCTGTGCCCGGGGAGGAGGGGCCCAGGGCAGCCCATCCTCCCTCCGCACTGCCCCTGGGCCCCACTTCTCTCCGGGGTCCCCAGACTGACGGGGTCTCCAGCGGCAAGCCCGGCGTGGTAGCCCTGGTACCACCCACCTCTTCTCCTAAAGGCCCTGGGCCAGCGGGGCCGGCATCCAAGGCTCCTGTTCCCGACAGAGATGTCCAGCTAGCCCGAGCACGTGTCCCCCAGCCCTGGCTGCAGGCCCCAGGCAGGGAGCCGCTTATCGGACAGCGTCCTTCCTCCCCATGTCCCCGCCTGCATCTGCACTGTCCCGCCAGGTCTGGCCACCCTTGTCCCTCTCCACCTCTCCTGCACCCCTGAGCCTGCCCAGCCACTGCCCCTGCTCCTCCAGGGCCTCTCAGGGGTGCAGCAGCCCCTCTGGGTGGGAGCTGGGCACTGCTGCTCCTCCCCCAGCCCCGCGCCTGGCCTGAGCCTTGAGGACGGCGCAGCAGATGGGGCTGTTTGATCAGAATCAGGAAGGATAAGGCCCCTCGGGTGACCCCAGGGCCGAGGACACCTAAACCGCCCCTCCTCCCCCACCTGCCTGCTGCCTTCTCCACTGGAGAGAAAGCCCCTCTGTGGGTCCCTTACCCCGCCCCACACCGGGATGTCTCCTCCCCTGGTGCAGGGGCTGGGGCCCGGCGGCTGTGAGTCCAGGGCCGGCAGCCCCATAGCAGGCTGTGAGACAGGTGCCTGCCCAGGCACCCAGCTGTCCCTGCAGGGTGCATCCCAGACCCGACAGGTGGATGGAGGTGCAGGGGAGCCCCAGGAAACCCCCCACCGTCAGCCTCAGCCTGCGCCCCCTCCCACCCCTTGTCCTGGGCTCTCCCCGGCACTGCCTTCCGTCCTCAGTCTGTCCAGCCATCCGGCCACACTTCTTACCCTGTTCGAGGGTGCCCAAAAGAAGGGCCCGTCACAGCCCTTGGGGCTCCTGGGGTCGCTCCCAGCGCCTGTAAACCCACCCCAGGGAAGCCCCTCCCACTTCCCCGCGGGGCTCTGTTGGAGCCAAAGATTGTCAGCAACAAAGGGCTGACTGGGGGGGGGGGGCTGCTGCTCCCGAACTCCCACCTCAGATGCTGGCTCTGCCCTGGGACCGGGCCTATGACCCCCCCCAGCCTGGGCAGGCGTGACCCCGACAGCCCCAGTGCCAATCTGAAAGGAGCGCTCGGCCAGCCAGCCTTCTGTGTGCCTGTGGGACCAGGTCGCTGCGTCTGAGCCTTGCGCGGGCTCCTGGGGCGCCTGGACGCCCCAGTGCTGTGAGGCAGCGTGCGCGTGGCAGACCATGCTGAGCGTGTGGCCCACACACCTGGCCCTGGCCTGGCCAGCTCAGTCACCATGGCCCTGGGGGCGAAGTCACGGATGGCCCAGGCACCACCACCTCACACTGCTCGCCGGCCAGGCTGCCCTGGCAAGGCAGCTTCCCCGGGGCTGACAGTAGGGTGGGGCTGGACCCCTCTGAGAGCCCTGGGTGGGTGACCAGGCAGGGGGGTGGCTGCCACCAGCACAGAGGAGAGGAGCCACCAGACAGACAGCCCCAGACGGCAGGAAAGCTAGCTTATCCCGAGACGTGCCGCCCCCATGCCCCTGGACAAGACCTCCCAGCACGCCGAGGCTGCCACGCTGGCACAGAGCGATCACTCCCGCGTCTCCTGCCCTCAGCTCCGGCTTCATCAGGACTCCGAGGCTCAGGGAGGGTCTAGGGCAGCAAGACACCTGCTGGCAGGGACTCCTCAGACTCTGCCCCTCTGCCACCCAGCACCCCGCGGAGCAGCACACACGCCCTCCAGGACCCCCTTGCCCCAGATGTGCAGCCCCTGCCAGATGTGGGAGGCAGCCACCTGGAGGCATGCCCCCTGCCCGGCCACACCGCCCCCACCTGCTGCTGCTGCTGCTCCTGGCCGTTAGGGTGAGTGTCCCACACCACCTGCCCCGGCGGGCCCTGCGTGGACATCCTGCGCTGACCCGCACTGTCCTGTTTGTCCGTCTGGTGGCTCTTCCGCCTGCCCTAGCCGCAGGCCCCTTCCGCTGAGGTGATGGACTTCCTGTTTGAGAAGTGGAAGCTCTACAGTGACCAGTGTCACCACAACCTGAGCCTGCTGCCGCCCCCCACCGGTGAGCCCCCACCAGGGCCTTCCGGCCTTGAGCTCCCTCCACAGGAGGGCTCTCTCCTCCAAGCAGCCCTGCAGGGGGGCCTGTCACCCCTCAGGTCCCACCCCCCTTCACAGGTGAGGTCACTGAGCACAGAGAGGCCAGAGACTCGCACAGCCAGGAAGTGATGGAAATAGTAGAGCTGCCCCAAAGCTGGCCGCCCGCACCTGGGGACACCGTCCCTGTCCCCATGGACCCCAAGCGGGCAGACAGTGCCTGGGAGAGGCGGGACCCAGCGGCTGGGGAGGGCTCAGGCAGGGCCTGGATGTCGTGATCTGGACACTCAGGTGCAGGGAGAGACAGGCAGCAGGACCCCCCGGGAGGCCACCATTCCCTGGACAAGGCAGGTGGCCTGGGCTGGGCAGAGGGGAGCCGGGTCTGGGAGCCACAGGGCTGGCACCAGACCAGGAAAGGATGCTGATGGAATTGGGGTTCAGCACCCAGAGAGGAAGTGCTGCAAGAAGGAGACCCCAGCATGTGTTTGGACATGTACTGGATGGGGGGATGTCTCCCCAGGAAGGTGCCCTGGGTGGGGCTGGAGCTCAGGGCCAGGCTGGGCTGGAGGTGGGGGAGGGCACACTTGGTCTGGGGAGGCGGATGGCCGGGGGCACCTGGTCCCAGGCCCAGGTGGGGAGGGAGTGGCCCTGGGCTGCCTGCTGGGAGAGGAGGTAGCTTCCAGAAGGAGGGTTCTTGCCGGGCCGGGCCCTCGTAAAGGAGTCCTGTCCCCCCACGCCCGGGCCCCTGGGCCTGCCTCTGCAGAGCTGGTCTGTAACAGAACCTTTGACAAGTATTCCTGCTGGCCGGACACGCCCCCCAACACCACAGCCAACATCTCCTGCCCCTGGTACCTGCCTTGGCACCACAAAGGTAAGCACAGGGCATGGGGCGGGGGCGCCGGGCCTGGGGTGGGGGCTGACCAGAACCCGCCCTCACACCCCAGTGCAGCACCGCCTGGTGTTCAAGAGGTGTGGGCCCGACGGGCAGTGGGTGCGAGGGCCCCAGGGACAGCCGTGGCGCAATGCCTCCCAGTGCCAGATGGACGACGAGGAACTCCAGGTCCAGGTGGGCCTGCGGCGGGATCGGCAGGGCTGCGGGGGTGCAGGAGGCGGCCCCCCGCCCTGACCGGCCCCTGTGATCTACAGAAGGAGGTGGCCAAGATGTACAGCAGCTTCCAGGAGATGTACACAGTGGGCTACAGCCTGTCCCTGGGGGCCCTGGTCCTCGCCCTGGCCATCCTGTTGGGCTTCAGGTAGGCACCTGCCATGCCCGGGCGGCCGCGGGGGCAGGGAGGAAGGCAGCGGGCGCTGACTCGCCGTCCCCGCAGCAAGCTGCACTGCACCCGAAACTACATCCACGCAAACCTGTTCGCATCCTTCGTGCTGAGGGCCAGCTCCGTGCTGGTCATCGATCAGCTGCTCAAGACCCGCTACAGCCAGAAGATCGGGGACGACCTCAGCCTCTGGCTCAGTGACGGGGTGAGCATCCCGCCCTGCCCCAGCCCTGGCGGGCTGGTGGCCGTGTGACCCTGCTGACGCTGTACCTGCACCAGGCGGTGGCCGGCTGCCGCGTGGCCGCCGTGTTCATGCAGTACGGCGTGGTGGCCAACTACTGCTGGCTGCTGGTGGAGGGCGTGTACCTGCACAGCCTGCTGGACCTCGCCACCTTCCCCGAGAGGAGCTTCTTCACTCTCTACCTGGGCATCGGCTGGGGTGAGTGGGCTGGCGCCCTGGGGGGCTGGCTGGCCAGGGCCTCGGGACCACAGCTGCCGCCCCTACAGGTGCCCCCATGCTGTTCGTCATCCCGTGGGTGGTGGTCAAGTGTCTGTTTGAGAACGTGCAGTGAGTACCCGCTGGATGGGGGGAAGGCCTCCGAGGGGGCGGGGGCTCTGGCCTCAGGCAGTGGGGGGTGGCAGTCCTGGAGCCTAAGGCCTGGTACCTTCCTTTCCTGAGTGCCAATTAGATCCTGGCGGAGCCACTGGGGCTGGGTGGGCGGGGTGGGGGGGCCGTGTGCGCAGGATGCAAGCCCCCCACCCCACAGGTGCTGGACCCGCAATGACAACATGGGCTTCTGGTGGATCCTGCGCTTCCCCGTCTTCCTGGCCATCCTGGTGAGGAGATGAGGCGCCTGCCGGCCCCAGGGGAGGGGTGTTGGCAGGTGGCACACCAGGCCCCTCCTTCCTTGGTGGCTGTAGGCAGCCCGAGGGGACAGACAGCATCGTGCCTGGCCTGGGGGGACGGCAGGGAGGCCTCAGCACTCAGCAGCACGCTGTCCAGGCTGCCCTTCCTTGGCAGGGTGCCCGACAGCCCCAGGGCCCGTCTGGCTGGAGGGACGATGCGGTCATCCAGGGACACAGAGCTGTCCCCGGGGGCCCGAGGGCTGCCCCAACCTGTGTCCTCTCCACACAGATCAATTTCTTCATCTTTGTCCGCATCATTCGTCTTCTTGTGGCCAAGCTGCACTCGCGCCAGATGCATTACGCTGACTACAAGTTCCGGTGGGTGTGGGTGTGGGTGTGGGTGTGGCCAGAGGGGCGGGCGTGCTGCGGCCAGGAGGCCCTGGAGGGCCAGAAGGGGCTGGGGGGGGATGCCAAGGTGCAGGTGGGCGGGCGGCCGCGGGCGGCTCAGGCCCTGCCCCTGCAGGCTGGCCAAGTCCACGCTGACACTCATCCCCCTGCTGGGGGTCCACGAGGTGGTCTTCGCCTTCGTGACTGACGAGCATGCCCAGGGCACCCTGCGCTCGGCCAAGCTGTTCTTCGACCTCTTCCTCAGCTCCTTCCAGGTACCAGTCTGTCCCACCCGCCCCCCGCCCCAGGCCGGGGCTGCCACTCACCCACTGTCTCCCTCCAGGGCCTGCTGGTGGCCGTCCTCTACTGCTTCCTCAACAAGGAGGTGGGTAGGGGGATCTGAGGCTGTCCGCTGTGACCCTGGGGTCCGGGTCAGAGAGGGCACGAGGACACTCGGCCCACCTCCAACTGGGGTCAGGCTTGCACCACGCCTGTCCCTTCTGCCTGTGAGCTCTGAGCACAGTTGCTATGACGAGGGGTGCAGGTGTGAGGGGAGGGGAGGAATTCCCGAATCCTTTGTGCCCATGGGGCTGTCGCTGTGCCCAGCGAGGAGCTTGCTTGCCCTGTGCCCCAGGGCCGAGGGCTTGAGCGTCCAGGGAGGCCCATAGCGGGGCCTAGGGACGGCGGGACGGCAGGCCCTGGGACTGACCTGGCCGACCCGCCGCACACCCCCAGGTGCAGTTGGAGCTGCAGCGGCGCTGGCACCGCTGGCGCCTGGGCAAGGCGCTGCCCGGGGAGCGACGCACCGGCAGCCACTCGGCCTCGGCCGGGCCTGGCCACGGCAACCCCACTGAGAACCTGCGGCTCGTGACAGGTGGCAGCAGCAACGGCGTTGGCCGGGACCCCTCTGCGGAGACCCCCTCGGCCAGCAGCCTCCCTGGGTTGGCTGAGAGGCCCTGCTGAACCCCAGGCTGCGGCTGGACTCAGGCTCCCAGAGAGGCCGTTGCTGCGCAGCCTGGGACTGGATGCCCCACCGAGGCTGGAGGGCCCCTGTTGCCCACCTGCCCGGCCAGTGTGGCGGTCTGTGCGGCAGGGCTGCCCCTCCCCCTCCCCACACCTGCCTTGTCCCTGGGGACAAGGGTCCCGGGTGGGGGGAGCTGTGCTGTGAACTGCATGCCCACGTCCCCATGTGTGCTGGCGTGTCCTGTGCGTGTGGAAATCCGTGCTGGCAATAAAGAGCTGAGTAGTGGCCATGTGCGCGTCCCGGAGAGCAGCCTGGAGATGCCCTGGAGTGGTGGTCACCTCGCCAGCTGTAGGTGGTGGCACCAGTGCTGGCACAGCCCCGGAGGGAGGGCCTGCTTCCCAGGTAGCCAGAGCTGGGGTCCCCAGGTGGCCAGCAGTGCCTATACCCCCGCCCAGCAGGTTCTGGCCTCCCTCCCATCCTGGTTCAGGTGGGTGGCCCCCATGCCCAGAGGGTCACCATTACCAGCAGAGAGACAGGAAGGGGGCACCATGTCTGAGGGGGGACACAGGTGACACAGACCTCCTGTCAACCTCCATGAACACCGGATGTACCAGAGGGCATCTTCCAGAAGCCCCTCTCCCTGGAAATAGCCAGAATAATGATGCCCTTCCCGGGAGCCCCTGGCCTCCACTTATCCCAGCTCCAGCTGCCCCGGCAGTTTGCAGGCCACACAGCAGGGTGAAGCAGTGAGAAATGGACCCGAAAACTGCCAAGAGTCTGGATGGAAGTGGCAGCACAGCCCCCGCACTCAGCAGAGGCCCCTGCCCAGTCCATTGTGTGCCCGGCGGGCACCCTGCTTGCCAGGCGGGGGGGAGGGGAGCTGATGCCAACGGAGAGCTGCCTCCTGAGTGTTGGACCCAGGAAGAGTCAGAGGGGTGCTTTGGGGTGGGGGCCCCAGTTGTCTGGGGCACCGCGTGTCTGGAGCAGGTGCTACTGTCCCGGGTTCAGACACGCTCCGAGGACCAGGAGCCAGGGTGACTACCCCTCTAGGTGGTCCCTGCGCAGGTGCTGTGACACCTGGTAGGGGTGCATGGGGTGACGAAGGAGCCAGCCAGGCATCCCCACTGAGGAGCTGGTGGGAGGTGACCACTGGGCCCTGGGGAGGGGTGCTCACAGCCCCCCAGGCCATGTGGGCGGCAGCCGCTCAGGCAGAGCCAGGCTAATTGGAGCAAATGAAAGGACACGAGGCCTCTCGGGAAAGGTAAATAGAATTACTCACTCACCAGGTGCTGGGCTCTCCTGGGGGGCCCCCGCCCTGCCCCCACTGCAGGGCCTGTGCGCAGCAGGGAGGACAGCAAGGGGCAGGCAGGAGGCCGGGTGAGGCGAGGCGGCTGGGCCAGCTGTACCTGCCAGAGGCCCCTGACCTTGAGGCTTTGGGTCAACTCGCGTCCCAGGCGCCGGCTGCTGACTCTCCAAGCCCTGGATGCTCAGACCAGGTGCCCCTGTGGGCACGGGCTGCTCTGAGTTAGCTCAGGAGGGTGTTAAGTTCTCCTTCACGCCAGCTGAGCTCAGGGTTGGTGACTGCCTTGGGGGGTATGCCACTCACCTGGGGCCTCCTGACTGCCCTCCCCATCTGGAGTCCCTCTGCCCTTGTCCTCCTCCACCCTGGGAACTGGAGCAGGCTGGCGCAGTCAGGGGCGGAGTTGGGGCCTGGCAGGGGCTGGACTCCCCCAGCCAATAGCACTGGCCCTGACCAGGCCTTTAGCTGGTGGAGGAGCCGCTTTCTGACTCAGCCCACATGGCATCACTCCCCAGCTCTGAGGCCCTCTGCCCCTTCCCCATGGTGACAGCCCTCCCTCCTCTGGCTCAGGCCTGCACTGCAGGCTCCCTCCCCCAGAGGAACTGTGGGTACCCCTCAGGAGAGTGTGTGTGCTCTAGAGAGGGTGACCGGGTGTGCGATTGTGGAAGGAGGGAAATGCACACACGTGTGTTAGGTGGGGGAGGTGTGTGGACATCCGGCGTCCCCGAGGGAATGTTTGCAAGAGAGTTGTGTATGTGTGCATGGCTGGGAGCAAGATGACTTCCGTGTGACCCCTGTACACACATACTACTAAAACGAGGGTGGAGACCAAGAAAAAGGAAGACGTGAACTATCTATCAAGGGTCAAACTTAGGAGAGTGAGGGATGGGCCACTGGGGTAGGGGCCGGAGTCAGACAGAAGGCTTGGGAGAGGCCCCTCAAGGGGGTGAAAATGAACACACTGGAGATTTGGATGACCTAGTGGAGAGGTCAGGACTTAATTAGTGATGGGTGCACAGAAAACTAATCAAATGAAAAAAGAAGGCAATTAGTAACTCCATGGAAAACAAAAAGTTGGATAGAAAAACCAATCACATGGTTCAGTTCTGAATACAAACACAGACATAACAAACTCAACACGGATGTAACCGAAGTCACAGGAGAAAAAAGAACCATCTAGGGGGACAGTGGACAGGAACAGCACGGGCGTCTACTTGGGGGTAGGGGAGAAAACAAGATGGGAAAATAAAAAAGTAACAACTCACACATTATTGAGAAATAAACACAAATCACAGCATCAGCGGAGTAGTTGAAAGTGGTTGTCTCTCAGCAAGGTGGACGGGAAAAGGCTGGGGCTGTAGGTTAGCTCTGGGTTGGCTCGGCCTCCTCCTGGACACCGTGGCCGCCGGGCCAAGGGTGCCCCCTCGCCACTCTTCCTGCCTCCTCCTCTCTCTGGGTGCTATGCCCGGGAACCAGGCCCCACCTTCCTCCCTGCTTTATCAATCTTTAAAAACATTCAATATATAGATAACTCCTAATTTCTATCTCCAGCCCCTGTGGCCCTCCTAAACCCATAGAGATAGGGTCTTGTTCTGTTGCCCAGGCTGGAGTGCAGTGGCTCATCAGAGCTTGCTGCAGCCTCCAACTCCTGGGCTGAAGTACCTCAGCCTCCCAAATAGCTGGGATTACAGGTGTGCACCACCTCACCGGCTCCAAACCTGCAGTTCAGACTCAGCCCCCAGCTCCCCACCTACATTTGGATGCCCAACAGCTTCAGGAGCTTCTCTCCTGCCCCAACTCCTTTCTCCTGCTGTGCAGAGCCTCCTACTGGGCCTCGGCTCCTGTCTGGGGCCCTGCAGCCATTCTCCACGCCACACCCAGGCCCCTGGACAGCCAAGGTCTCCTATGACTCTGATCAAGCCTCCACATCTCAGCTCAGTTTACAGAAGTACAGGGAACAGAGGAGCCTGTTAACACCACAGGACATAACCAGGCACAAGCAGAATGTGCGTCACTCCATCCAAATGACCCAAGGGTCTTTGTTATTTTTTATTTTTGTAATTTATTTATTTTGAGAAAGAGTCTCACTCTGTTGCCCCGGCTAGAGTGCAGTGTCGTCAGCCTAGCTCACAACAATCTCAAACTCCTGGGCTCAAGCGAACCTCCTGCCTCAGCCTCTTGAGTAGCTGGGACTACAGGCATGCGCTACCATGCCCGGCTTATTTTGTCTATTTTGGGTAGAGACGGGGTCTCACTCTTGCTCAGGCTGGTCTCGAACTCCTGAGCTCAAATGATCTGCCCACCTCAGCCTCCCAGAGTGCTAGGATCACACCTCCTAGGGTCTTTGATTCCTAAATACAAGGAAAGAAGGGAACTGTCATAGAGAGATTTAGGAGATACATTCACTTTGCCTTCCAATTCAAGTCAATAACCCATCGTGAATACAATTATTTTAGAGGTTAAGGGAATTTGTACTGGCTATATTGGATATTAGGAAATTATTGTTCATGCTCAATAAGCATTCACTGGCTGGGCGTGGTGGCTCAGGCCTGTAATCTGGGAGGCTGAGGCGGAAGGATCACTCGAGGCCAGGAGTTCAAGACCACCCTGAGCAAGAGTGAGACCCCATCTATACTAAAAATAGAAAAAAGAGGCCGGGTGCGGTGGCTCACACTTGGAATCCTAGCACTCTGGGAGGCCGAGGCGGGCGGATTGCTTGGGGTCAGGAGTTTGAAACCAGCCTGAGCAAGAGCAAGACCCCCGTCTCTACTATAAATAGAAAGAAATTAATTGGCCAACTAAAAATATATAGAAAAAATTATCCGGGCATGGTGGCACATGCCTGTAGTCCCAGCTACTCGGGAGGCTGAGGGAGGAGGATCGCTTGAGCCCAGGAGTTTGAGGTTGCTGTGAGCTAGGCTGACTCTGCACTCTACCCAGGATGATGGAAAGAGACCGTCAGTCTCAAAAAACCCCCCCAACAACAACAAAAACGAACCATGAACATTATCAATAATTATTAAGTTAAAATTCTGACAAAAATAAAAGCTTAAAAATCCCTTGAAAGAGGTCACTGTTTTCTTACTTGTAAGTCAGGGTAGTAAAACTCGCCCCACAGAATTGCCAACATTGAACAAAAGCAAATAGGCGCAACATGTGGGCAGGTGATTCGGCAAAGGGAGGGCACTCGCCTCCCAGCCCTCGCTGCGGAAGAGGAGGGGGTGTCGCAGTGAGCAGCCAGCCCAGCAGCCCACAGGGCTGGGCGAGGGGCCCCTGGGTCGGTGGGCTAGAGCCCACCCTGCACCTGCCTCCACTTTGTGACTACACCTGGTCCAACCCAGGGGTGTGATTCGTGGGGCCCACAGGGTGTGCTCCACCCCTCTGGCAGCCCTCTCCCCACCCTCGGGCCCTTGAAGCACCCCCAATATCAAGGGGTCAGGGTTCCTGCCCTTTCCCAGCAGGTGGCCTGACCTGGCCATCCCCCTTCTCCTCCAGGTGATCTTGGCAGAAAGACCCCCCCCAAGTCCTGAGCCCCTGGTGGGCAAGGACAGGGAGTAAAGAGCCTGGAGCAGTGTCCCAGAACCACCCAGGCCAGTGGTAGGGGTAGGTGGGGGCGGGCATGGGGCATGCCACCACACCTGGCTAGTTTTTTCTTTTAGCAGAGACAGGGTCTTATTCTTGCTCAGGCTGGTCTCCAAACCCTAACCCTAACTCCTGACCTCAAGCAATTCTCCTGCTTCAGCCTCCCAGAGCACTAGGATTACTGCATGAGCCACCAAACGAGCCTCAAGTCCCTTTCTTTTTTTTTTTTTTTTGAGACAGAGTCTCACTTTATTGCCCAGGCTAGAGTGAGTGCCGTGGCGTCAGCCTAGCTCACAGCAACCTCAAACTCCTGGGCTCAAGCATTCCTCCTGCCTCAGCCTCCCAAGTAGCTGGGACTACAGGCATTCGCCACCATGCCCGGCTAATTTTTTGTATATATATATTAGTTGGCCAATTAATTTCTTTCTATTTATAGTAGAGACGGGGTCTCACTCTTGCTCAGGCTGGTTTCGAACTCCTGATCTCGAGCAAGCCGCCTGCCTTGGCCTCCCAGAGAGCTAGGATTACAGGCGTGAGCCACCGCGCCCGGCCTCAAGTCCCTTTCTTAACATCACAAGCTCCCCTTAGGCATCTCCAGGTGTGCTGCCTAGTGGTCCCAGGAACCCTGTAAAGGATAGGCCTTTGGACCACCATGGCCCACACCCTCACTTTACAGATGGGGAAACCAAGTCAGGCCGGCAGCATGACGTGCCCCAGTGCTCACAGCAAGGCCATGAGCACAGCCACCAGCCTGCGGAATCCATGCAACCACCTGATGACTCGGGTGGGTCTGGTTCCTTTGAGACTGAGCACCGTGTCAAGAGTGCCCGTGAGGTGACTAGGTGGCAGCAGGCACCAAGACTGGGCAACAGCCCGGGATGTGGGCAGCAACTGCCACTTGAAGAAACAGGTGCAGAAAGAGCAACTGGCTCAGTCACATGTACAGCAGCCTGGCTAGGGCCTGAGCCTGCTCCCTGTGTCCCAGGGTCTGGGAGGGCACCGTGTGCTGGTGGTCTCACCTTGTAGGACCTCTGCTGGCCCTGGCAGCCACCACTAAGCAGGAGGCCACAGGGCAGACCTTGCTGCCCCTTGTGTTGTCCCTGGTGGTCCAGGAGGCAAGGGCGTGTGCCAGAGCTGTGAGCCTAGTGCCCACTCACCTGTGTGGTGACCCTTGAGCTGCAGCCACCCTTGAGCTGAACCTCATTGGGCTTTGCCGACCCCTGGCCAACCCCAGACAGTGGGGGCCAGCTTGGGTGACCCCACCTGGTGGTCACACAAACCCCCTGCAAAGGCCTCACAGGCCTGAAAAAGGCCGTGTCCACAGGAGCTGGCTCGGGGCCAGGCAGCAGGGAGTGCCTGCTGCTGTTTCATCACAGGACAGCTCTTCCTGTTCCAAGGCAGCATCCCCTGCCCCAACCCACCCGCCAGGAGGCGCCTGTGGGGCCACCGGAGCCCTGGAATACTCTTCTGGGAAAGGGAGTTCCTGGAACAAATTCCGGTCAGGCCTGCTAGGGCTGCTTCCAGGTTTGAAGGTCAAGTACAACTGGGTCTCTCCTCGGGCAGCAGCCACCCCTTCTGGGCGGCAGAGGAAAGACTGTCTGGAGGGTCCACAGTCAGTGCCTACAGGGGGGTTCAGGGTGGCAGAGAAGTGCCTACTGCCTCTGGGGCCCCCACCCCACGGGGGGGAGGGGGAGGTGCACACGAGGAGGCCTGCAACTTGGACATGGGCAGCGACTCTACACAGCAGCCTCAGCCTCTCCAGTCCAGGACGCCCCCTGCCCTCCCATCACCCTGCCCTTAGGGCGCCCAGGGGCTCAGACAGAATTCCTGGGCTTGAGGAGCCTTAGCCACGACCTGGGATCTCTAGTCGTGTCGGGGAGTTGGGGAACGTGTGGTCTTTGGGGTGGGGCAGGGGGAGAAAGACTGCCAACGAGGCCCATGCTGTGCCACCCGCCTTTATTCACGGACCCTCAGGCTCCAGAGCCACACAGACGCTTGGCTTTTGGAGGGCACAAAAAGAAAAAGGGGCCCTGGTAACACTCCCAGCACACCCCAGAGAGCCAGGACAGACTCTCGGCAGCACCACCACCTCAGGGTCAGCCTCGGCGCCCCTGCCCAAGGGGCCAGAGGGCCAGACACCAGGACGCCAGGCCTGGTGCTGGGGACCCCTCTGGGGCAGCAGGGTCCCAGGCCCTGAGAGCTGGCTCCACCCTGAAGCTGGTACAGGGAAGGTGCCAGGCTGGACAGGGCCAGGCCACATGAGCAGCAGGGTCTGCAGAGGACCCAAGCTGGACCAGAGGTGGGGTGGGGACTGGCCTTGTTCTGCGTTCTGGCCACCTCAAGGACAAAACCAGCCCAATGCCACCAGCCTGGGAGACAACAGAGGCACCCTCTTCTCCCTCCTGATCCTCTGGCCAGGGGAGGAGGCAAAGATGGGGCAGAGGCTGGGAGAGGTGGGGCTAGGGCCCCCCAGGGGACAGGCGGGGCAGGCAGCTCCAAAGATGCAGCCAGGCCGGGAGGAGGGCAGGGCTTGGAAGGTCCCCAATCTGCAGTGACAGAGGCAGCTTGAAACACCCCCCTCACTCCGAAAAGAAGGGAGGTGGCTTAGGGAGGAGGGGTGGCCCCAGCCGTCAATCACATGGTCCTGGGGTCCTGGGTTTGCAGCCTGCTGGGGCAAGGCCCCTCCCCCCAAGGAACCGCCAACCGGACAGAAGGTGACCAAGGTCAGGTGCACCCTGATCTTCCAGAGGCGGGGGAGGGGCCTGGGTGCTCTAAGACTTCTTGGCGTCCTGCGTGTTCCGGCGTTTCAGGTCGCTCAGGTCGATGGGTTTGAAGGCTGTGGGGGACAGTGTGGTCAGCCATGGGCACAGGCTTCCGTCCAGCCCCCACTTCTGGCCCCGGGAGTGGGCTGTCTTGGGAGAGGACACTGGGCAGCGGCAGGGGATGGGAAAGATGGCTGGCCTTCCTGCCCCCGGGGCAGCCCCACTCACTCTTCAGGCTGGGGTTAGGGACCTTCTCCACATACTCCTCCACCAGGCCCCGCTCACTGCCCGACATCTGGCTCCGCAGGTCTCGCTCCACACCCTGCCAGGCTGCGGGCAAGCAGGGGCAGTGTGGTCAGAGCCCCCACTCTGGCTCCGCATCCGGCAGAGTCCCGGCAGCCACTGCCCGAGCCAGGAGAGTGCCCGCCCTCAGTGCCAGGCCCATCCTCTCACCCAGAACACCCAGGCACTCCTCCCCAGCACCTGGCCTCACCCACCCACCCCAGCAGGTCTGTCCCTCCTCTGCACATGACCAGGGCCAAGGTCAGGGGCCTTGGGGCAGCACTGCTCCTTGGGGTCCCCCTCCCTGGCACATACACATGCCCAACCTCAGCCACCTGCCCCCTGCTTCTGGCCCCTTCTGCTCGCGCGTGCCGTTCTCACGGCTGGGTGCACCCTCTGTCTCTCCCACAGCCCCGCCTCTCCCCAGCAAACCTCCGGTGCTGGGGACGGGCTCCAGATGCCGCCTCCATCTCGGGGCTGCCCATGTCCGTGCCTCCTGTCGGGCTCCCCACCATCAGAACCAGGTCTCCCCACCAGGGCCCTCAGTCAGTCCAACCTGCCCGGGACCCCCGAGGCTGTAGAAGGGGTGACGGAGGCAAGAAAGGGGCTCCAGGAAGCTCCTCAGACTGACGGCAGGAGCCGAGCGGGGCAGGCACACCCACCTTCGTAAATGAAGCGCACGTTCTCCTCGTGGGCCGGGGTGAAGATCTCACTGCTGCTGGGAGAGCGGGGACTGCTGTTCCTCTTGCCGTTGTAGACAACTCTGGAGACAGGGGAACTGGGGGGAGCCAGTGTGTGACAACGGAGCCAAAGGGGCTCAGCGGGGTGGGGGCCCCCGCCCCCCCCCCAGCAGAGGCCGCCCCACCTTCTGAGACCCACCTGGTCATCGCTGGTACGCTGGTCCTAGCACTCCGCTGCCAGGTCCCCTCTGCTTCTGAAACGGAAGCCCCAGAACACAGGGATGGGACCGCGCCCTGCTCTGCAGCAGAGGGGAGGGGCCACAGGGCACAGCTGCCTCAGCCCCATAAGCTGTGAAAAAACCGTGTGATTCTGCTTCCTGGGGACCCCCCACAGGCAGGCTCCAGACACAGGTGGCCAGGGGACCCAGGCAACCCCATGCAGGCTAAGGATGGCACCGGGGCAGCCAGGTGGGGGCCAGGGCACAGGAGGTGGGGTCAGCCAGCTGACAAAGGCAGCCTGAGCGACATGAGCTCGGCCCGTGTCCCCAGCCACAGCACCTGGACCAGCACTGCCCTGGAGCCCCTTCCGCAGTGTCAGCCGGCAGCTCTGTCCACACTCCTGTGTTCAGAGTTGCGGTTGCCTCTTGAGGGCCAGTGGTCCCCAGCGAGCCTAGCTCTGTCCTTGCCGGCTGCATGCTGGGCTTGTTTCTGCTGAGCTGCCCTTTCCTTCCTGTGAACAGGATGAGCTTCCCCACGGTCACGCAGGCTTCCCAGCAGTCCCCAGGCCCAGCCCCTGGTTCCCTGCACTGGGGCTCCTCAGGCTGAGTCGTGAGCCCAAGTCAGTGCCCTGGAGATGGAAGCAAAGCAGGGCGGTGGGTGGGGCGGGGGCGACCCTGGCCTGCGGCCGGTTTACAGCACAGCGTGGGAGGAAGTCTATCTTGAGGCTCATACTCAAATACCTCTCAAGTACCAGGGTGCCCCCTCCAGGTGAGGACACACGCCACCAAGGTGAGGAAGCTGGCCTCACAGGGCTGGTCCACAGGGGCAACCCTAGGTGCTGGGGGCAGAGGAGTCCAGGGGCTGTGAGTACAAGCACCTGTCCTGCCCAGCCCTGGGGCTCCAGACAGCCAGAGCACACAGCTGCAGCGCCTCACCAAGGGCCAGGGGTGTCAAGGCAGTCCAGGTTCTTCCTTCCTGGCCCTCAGCATCATATAAGCGAGCCAGTGTCTAAACACCCACGCGGTGAACACAAGCCATGAGCCAAGGGCAAGAACAACAAAACAGTGTAAGAGCAGCTCCCAGCAGAGCACATGGAACTCTGTGCCCCTCCCAGGCCAGGATTGGCCGAGGCAGGGCCAGGCTCCCAGCCTGTGGCAGCATGCAGCTTGCTCACCAAGTGACCTCTCCTCTCCTGGACTCTGGGATCTCTCTGCACACAGTCCTCTTGTCGGGACACCAGCCCAGGGACCCCAGAACACAGAGGAAAAGCCCTCTGTGGCCTGAGGGCCCCACAGGGACACACTGATGGGGGAGGATGAGGTCAGGAAGCTGCCACTATGCACCAATGACAGAGATGCTCAGGGAAGGCAAAGCTCAGGTGACGGACAGACTGGCTGGCCCCTGCCTGCTCCTTTGGGGCACCTGCCTCCTCAGGCGCAGTTCCCAGTGGTTGCCTGGCTCTTACACACGCCACACCCACAGGCTCAGGTCCCCTCTCAGACTCAGCTCAGGTGTCACTTCCACTCAGCTCCTGCCTCCTCCCAAGTAACTATCCCAGGCTCCCTTCGCACACACCTGTTGTGCACACCTGCCAGTGGGGTTCTCTGGGTACCTGCTGCCCTCTGCCTCTAGCCCCTCCGCCTGGCCCAGGCTGGCCCCAGGCAGCTGGCCTACAGGGAACCGTGCCAGTGACCTGTACTCCACAGCCCCTGAGACAGTCTTTTTTTTTTATTTCGGCATATTATGGGGGTACAGTTTTTAAGGTTTCAATAAATGCCCTTCCCCCCCCATGCTGGTCTGAGTTTCCAGCATGACCATCCCCCAGATGGTGCACATCTCACTCATTATGTATGTATATACCCGCCCCCCTGCCCCCGACACTCAGTCTTGACCTTGGGGACCCTCCCCAAGCTGCTCCCACCTGTCCATCTTCCTGACCAGAGAAGGAGCTTGCTGAGGATGGCAGCACAGCCCACTGGAAGGCTGCACTTATTCACAGGGCCAGGTGGCCAGCGTGTCGCACAAGCATGTGCCCTCTGTAACCCACAGGCTGCGAGGCTCCCACATGGGCGTCCTACCTCACCTACACCAGGCTCTCGCATCCTTGGGACTTGAAGGACAAAGGAAACATCTCAAAAAGGAGCCCCGTCTGCCTCCTCTCACTAGGAGAGGTCATGGGCCCCCCAGGCCTGATGCCAACAGACACAGAGCCTCTGTGACTCCTCCCCACTTATCCCTCAGGCTGAGGCCCCCCAGGGCTTGTGCTGGCCCTGCCCTGCACCCACAGAGACAGATCGGAGACCCAGGCTTCTCTTAGCAGGTGCCTGTTGCTGCCTGGGAAGCAGAAGGGACAGGTCTGCGACCCACTCGCACGTCCCACCTTCTGGGCCCCGATTCTGACCCAGAAGGCCATCTCCACTGAAAACACTCCTGGGTGTGTGCCCCAAGAAGTGCAACGAGGATGGCTGGGGAATCGCACTTGTGATACCCAGAGAGAAGAAAGACCCCCTGAAGGCGACAGTGCGCGCCGGGCCCATTCCCACCATGGCAACGACAGCTGTAAACTGGAATCACAGCAATCTCAAGGCGAATCGTCCAACCCATGAGCACAAGAGGCAGGACCAGGAAGGATGCGGACAGGACCTGGGGACCCAGGCGGGGCAGCCTGCAGAAGGCGAGGCTGCAGGCAGAAGCAGAGCCAGGGGCAGGACAGTGTGTTCGTGCTTGGCTGAGCAGCAGGAAACGTGACCGTGTCACAGGTGTGGGAAGCACAGCACCCCATGAGGACGGTCCCAGGACCACAGCAGCTGGGGCGTGGGCTGGGGAGATGGCACAGGCCTGGAGAAGCGCCAAGGATGCCTAAAAAGAACTGCCAGCCCTAGGAGGGTCACCAAGCCGTGGAAGGCCATCTGAGGCTGCAGCCTCAGAACTGACAGGACACCAGTTTGCTCAGCAGCCCAGGTAAAGGTGGGGCCTGAGGGAGTGGCTCTATGCTGAGGGAGCAGCTAGCAGCCCTGCTATTGAGGTCCCCAGTGCCCATCCGGTGTGGCTGCCCCAGCCTTCTTCCCACCTGGGCCACCACTTGGGCTGGAGCACAGAGGGTCGGGTGACGTGCCCCCCTTCCTTCCCTTTCAGTCACAGTCATCATCAGCGTGACCATTACCCCCACAGCTCAGTCTACCACCTCTAAGAGAATGTTTGCATGTTTTAGTGTCTCTGAAACCGGGGCTGCATCTGGCAAGTGGTAACATGTCAAAGTTTAACTGACAGTGTTTCTTCTTTCTCAGTGGACCATGAAATGCCGTGTGGCTCCCAATGGCTGGGGCTCAGATGGGATGGCACTCCACGACAGCCCCATGGCCCAGGGCCCTCCCTCCAGCACCAACTCCTCAGGCCCTCTTCCCACTCCCGCCACCTCCCCTCACCGACATCCACACCACACCCCGTGCTGAACCTTCCCCATCCTGGGGGACACAAGGACACTCTTCCCTCAAACCATACCCCAGCAGGGCATCGCCTGGGTCCTCTGCTGCCATTAAGCTCACTCTCCAGCCCCAACCTGTTTTGTCAGGTGTCACCTGCTGCTATACTCCACCCCAATCCCAAACACAGGCTTTGCTACAGGACCACCTCCTGCTGGCCCTCCCTCCCTACAGGTGACATTCAGGTCCGTGCATCCTGTGGACTTAACTACTTGCTGCCTATAACTGTCTAGCCTACATGGCCTGAACTACCCAGTGACTGGAGATCATCTACCCTGCTCTGCTGCCCCCAGGCAGGCCTCTCTAAGTGTCAGGGCATCAGCATCCTCACCCGAGGCAAGGCAGCCCCAGGGGATGCTCGCCTGCTCCAACAAGGACAGAAGCACAGATATGTGGGGCCACACCTCAGGGAGGTCTCTCAGGGTTTCTCACCCAACACGACAATGGACATAGCAATTGTATACTGTATCATTTGACTGGACACTTCCAAGAATGAAAGGGACACTGTTGGTTATTAAGCATGAAACACAGCGACCTAGGCAACTGGAATGTAGAGCCAGTCCACTCACAGGCAGGTGGGGGCTGGGAAAATAACGGGGACTGAAAGCAAAGACCTCTGGGAGCCACAGCACACACTCAGGGCCATTGACACACAGTGCACAGTCCCCACAGCTAGGCCAAGAGGAAGACGCCCTGACAACCCCATTTCAGAGGGTGAAAGAGCCTCAGAGCAGAGGCGGACCCCACGTGACTCCCAACCCCTGCCCCTCCCACGGCCTCCCATGGCCACAGCAGTTGGGCCCAAATGTCCCAGTTGGCCTGAGCCTCTCCAGAGCCTGCCCCAGCTCTGCACCCCACGGCAGGTTCCCAGACTCCCTGAAACACCCACTCCCACAGACATCCATGAGGTTCCACTCGGAGACTCACCCTCCACTCCAGATAGGGAGGGGAGTCTCACTGCATGGATCTGTGGAGAATCTTCCTCTTCCATGGGACCCAAGGGCTTCAGAGACTTCCTGGGGGGAAGGCAGGGGGTAGGAGACAGAGAAAACAGGGTGCAGGGTGGGCCAGACCCCTAGTCTCTGGCCTCCTAGCTTCAAACTCCTTCCCACACACAACCATACACCCAGGAACACAACCCGAGGTGAGACCCTGTTCTCCAGCAAAGTGACAATGGATGTTCCAGAATCAGTGATGCCACTGCTGTTCTGTATTCCTTCGGAATTTCTCATATTCAAATTTTCCTAAACTCTTTTCCCTTCATGTTCTGTCTCTTTCCAGCCAATGAGACTTCTAAAAGACAGATCTACTACTCAAGTAGATAGCAGCAGATTACGAATATTACAGCCACCAGAGGCCTGCTGGTTCTTGAAGACCCCAGGCAGAGCCTCTAAGCACTGCCCCAACCCCCTCACCCTCCTTCCTGGGTGCCAGCTGCAGAGCAACAGCCAGAGACCCTGTACCTGCCTCTCCATCTCTGTCCTACTCAGAAATCTCAACATCCTCAGACTCAGCCCAAATCCAGCCACATCCTTTAGGAAGACTCAGCTCCTGCTTCCTTCGCAGCCCACCTCCCACCTCCTCTAAACATTCGCAACACTTTCCACCCAGAAGTCCACTCACTGATCCCCGTCTCCGGTCGTTGCCCAAACTGTCCCCTCTGCACAAAACGACCCTACTCATCCTTGGGTTGAAAGACCACCTTCTCTGGGAAGTGAGTCTATTCTGGGGCAGGATGGGGAGAAGCACAACCTCCACTGCTTTAGTAACTAGAGACGTGATACCTGAGGCGCCACGGCTCTGTGCTCCCGCCCCGGCGCCCCAGCCCATGGTCGTGCTCAGCAGCCACTGCCCAGGGAGCTCCGAGGGGCACGCAGAAGCCGGTCCTACCCCGTTGAACCCGCACCTAGCACAGCACCACGGCACGGGGACGCGGGGAAAGCAGGATAACAGACGGAAGAAAGGACTGAGCAAGGGCCTGGAAGGCTGCGTTCCGACAACCAGGAGACATCCTCAGAAACACTCCCTTTGGAAAATGGGGCAGCAGGACGTGTGTCCACCTCAGCGGCAGGAGCTTTAGACAGCGGAAAAGGGCGGGCCCCTAGCGAGCGGCCGGCGCGGGAAGTCTCCGGCTCGTCCCTTCGAAGTCCCACCCCGGCCCCAGGGAGCGCGAGGGGCCCCGCCGCCTGCGGGACGCGGGAGCCCCGGCGGCGCCCGGCAGGTGGGAGGCGGAGCGCGGGCGGCCCTCAGCGGAGCCCAGCCGGCCCGGCCTCCCGCCCGGTCACTCCCCCTCGCGGCGGCCCCGCCCGGCCCAGCTGGGCTCCCGCGGCCGCGCGGCGACACCAGGGCGTGGCCCAGCCGCGCCCGCCCCGACCCGCCCCTACCCGCCGCCCGGCGCCGCGCCCGCCTCACCTCGCCCGGAATCGCCGCCGCCGCCTCTTCCAGCTGGGAGGCCCCGCCGGAAGTGACGCCACAGCCGGCGCGCAGGCGCTGACGGAGCGCGAGCCACGTGACTGCCCGGCGCGGAGGGGCGGGGCGACACAGGAGGGCCGGGGGGCGTGGTCGGGAGCGCCGCGGGAGGGCCGGGGGGCGGGGGCGGGGGCGTCGCGGGAGGGCCGGGGTCCCCTCGGCGGGGCGTCGCGGGAGTGCTGGGTGTCGAGGACGCTGCGGGAGGACCGGGCTGTTTGGGGTCGGGGCTCCGGGGAAGGACCGGGGTCCCCGTGGGCAGGGGTGCTGCGGGAGGGTCGGGGTGGGCGGGGTCGTGGGCTCCGCGGGAGGACTGGGGGCTCCGGGTTCCCCTAGGCAGGGCGTCGCGGGAGGGCCGGGGGTCGGGGGCTCCGGGGGAACACCAGCATCCCCGGGGGTGGTGGCGCTGCTGCGGGAGGGCCAGGGGTCCCCGGGGGCGGAGCGGTGAGGCTCTGGCCACCTGCACTCCCCCAGCCCGCCCACCCCCTGATGCGGCCGGAGCCCAGTAATGGGGCCACCACCACGGGCTTGGGAATCACTTTTATTGAAAAAGTAAAAAGTGTCACAATAAAAATTCACCTGGAGAAAAAGCCAGGCCAGAAAGGTGGGTGTAGGGCAGGGTGTTGGGTGTGGGGCAGGGTCCTGGTGCCTGGGGCGGTGCCGGCTTCTCCAGGGAGGCGACCCCAGGGCAGGGCTGTCTCAGTCCATCCTGGTCCCTTTGAAGAGCTCCACCAGGTCCTTGAAGTCCGGGTCGATGAGGTCAGAGGGCAGGTCGCCATCGTTGTTGGCTGCATCTCTGTCTGCCCCCAGGGAGATGAGGTACCTGGGCGCAAAGGGCAGCTGCAGCGGGGAGGTGGCCTGGAGGGTGTTCACCTCCACCCTGGGGTAGATGGCTAGCTGCCTGGGGTCACCTGTTTGCTTTTTCCGGGGAGGGAGAAGGAAACCTGAGCCTCTGGAAGTGGTGGCCGGCTTCTGCAGTGTGCTCCAGTGAGGGCCACTGGGCAGAAACCATTCCAGAAGCCTTTAGAGTTCTCCGGGACCCTGCCTGAGACACCTTTTGGGGAGGCTAGTTGAGGCCTGGAGGGGTGGGGACAGCCTGCACAGCCCCCGGCCATCCTCTCACCTGGCGATGTCAGGGTACCCGTCGCTGCAGGCAATGTGCAGGGGCGTCCAGCCCACCTCGTCCCGCTGGTGAATGTCAGCCCCGTATTTGACCAGCAGCTTCACGCAGTCCAGGTTTCCAGAGAGCACGGCTTCATGCAGGGCGGCCAGGCCTGGGCCGGGACGGGGCAGGGGTCAAGGTCGAGGCAGAGGCCTGAGCCCCCTGGCTGGCCTTCACCTTCCCCCACAGACCCTCAGCCAGTCCCTCTGGTGCCTGCTTATTACCTGAGGGGTGGATGGTGGCCAGGGAGACCTTCCGGGCCCGGAGGAAGCGCCCCACCTGCTCCAGGTCACCCTGACGGATGTGGTCCAAGAACAGGACATCGTTGGGGAACCTTACACTGCGATCAGCCAGCAACCTCCGGCGCCGCTGCCGTGGGCTGTAGCGGGCGTAGCGGACAGTTCTGCTGGGCATTCTGGGGGCTGTGGCGTTGGCCGTCCCTCTGGGATCCTGCTGCACCGGGATGAGGGATGTGTCTGGCCCAGACCAGATCGGCGTGAGTTCTGTCTGGTGGGACCTCGCTCGTAACTTATATAGGGCGCAGGGAGCTATATAAAGCTGCGCGGTCATGCTTGCCCTCCAGAGGGGCTGAAATTGAGCTGCTCCCCACCCCCTGCGGCCAGGATCATGTTTAGTGACTCATCTTTCAGCCCACCTGTCACCCTGCCCAGCCAAAGGGGTCAGATCTTCCTGGCTCCCCTCCCTACCCCACAGCTGGACCTAGAAGGTGCCTTACAGAGGGTAGGCACAAGCACCAGGACAGAGCTCCTGAGGATGGCCAGCGGATGGAATCAGGGGCAAAGCAGGTACCAAGGTCATGGGGAGGGGTGCTGTCTGTCTCCTGGAAAGCTAGAGGCCTCCCCCATGTCTGAAGCAGCACAGGCCCACCACGCTGTGGAGGAGGCCCAAGCCCCCACCCCACCTCCCTCCCCATTGATTTCCACCTTCCAACAGGCTTGCATCGCTCTCAGTGGTTTTCCCCAAATTGCCTTGAGGGCACTGCCTCCTGCTCAGAGACCTCCCCATAGGCTTCCCTCTTGCTCAGCCAGTCCCCAAGCAAGTGGCCTGTCACACCAGGGGTCCCCACACACCCATACTCCTGCCCTCCACAGTGTCTCTGCAAGACACGTGGCAGTGTCCAGGCTGCTCTCCAAAGACGGCACCATCACGTCCTGGGTGGTGCATTCCCTCTGCCCCAGCCCCTTGTGGCCCTACCTCTAGGGACACAACCAGTGGGATTTTAAGAGAACTGTGTTCCAGCAGGCTCATCTTTGCTGACTGCTGCTGCAGCCGGGGTCCGAGATGCGGCTCAGATGGCAGGACATGAGAAGAGACAGGAGAAGGGGACAGGCACTGGAGCACGGTTTGCCCTGGAACCCGTCTTTGGGGTCAGGGATGGCCACTGATGGTACAGGGCTCCCCGGCAGCACTGGACGCTGGCTGTGTGAGTCTGCTCAGGCTGCCATGACAAAATACTCTAGACCTTGGAGCGAGGGACGTAAACAATAGATGTCATTGCCCTCAAAGTTCTGGAGTCCGAGGTCAGGGTGTCAAGGTGTCAGCAGGGCTGGTTCCAGGTCTCTCTCTGGCTTTGGGAGGTTGCCAGCAACTTTGGTGCCCTTGGCCTATGGCAGCATCACCCTGGGCTCTGCCTTCCTCTGCATGGGGCTCTCCCCGCATCTGCATATGAGTCGCCCCTGCTCACGAGGGTGCCATCACACTGGAGTAGGGCCCCCCGACTCCAGTGTCGTGACCATTTCCAAACAAGCTCGAGTTCTGAGGTCCCGGGGTTTAGAACTTTCACGTGAATCGTGAATCTGGGGGGAACACAGTCCAGCTCATAACGCTGGCAAGAGCCTCCAGGTGGTCACAAAAGGCCAGAGTGAGGACAGAACCAAGACCGGCCAGCAGCCCCCTTTGGGGACGTGGAGGTGGCAAGGGCACCAGCAGGCCACTCTGGATCTAACAGAATCAAATCGTCTATATCAGACAGCTCCAGGCACAAGGCCGTGGGTCAAATGCTACAGGAGAAATGGCATCAACTATGGGCTCCCTGCCTGACAGGGTCTTCTTGACCTGCCTCAGTGCCCAGTGCACATCCACCCGGGCCCTGCGGGCCTCACGCCATGGGCACGGCACCTCTCCATGCTGCTCTCTCTGCGGGCTGCAAACGGTAGCACTCAGGGCTGCCAGGACCCTGCAGGGGGTGGCTCCCAGCATCCCTACGTTTCCGGGTGCTGGTCAGTCGTGACTCCGGGTCACCTGGGAGGAGGGAGAGTAGCCTTTTCTGTTGTTCACGTGAAGCCCAGAGATTGGATGTTCCGCACTGTGGACGGGAGAGAGAACTCTCCTTTGATGTCAAGATTGCGTTTGCTCATGTTGTGGAAAGTTGTCTGCCCTCCCTGCCCAGAGGATCAGGTGAAAGCTCGCTGGGCGAAGCTGCCACCAGCAGCGTGGCCAGGAGGACCAGAAAGACAGCCCTGTCCAGGAGAGACGGGCCTCAGGCTAGAGCCAGGGTCGGGGCAAGCCCTCCAGGTGAGCCCAGCGGGGCCCTCCTGCTGCAGCTGAGCTGAGAGGGCGTGGAGTTTGTGGCTTTGGGGTTTCCATCTGCATCAGAGAAGGACTGTTTGTTGCCCGAAGTCTTCCTGGTCACAACAGGTGCCCCTGGAAGGTATTTATGTCCCTTTATGCTAGCAAGGACACTGGAACCCCGTGTTCTAAGCCACGGACACTACCTGAAGTGTCATCTCCCCTTCGAGGTGTTTCATCAGAAGCCGGCCGTCAGCAGTCCAACCTGCCACACAGCTGGCTAAACAGCCCATACCACACATGACATCAGAGCAGGACCAACCTGTATTTGTGTAGTTTTGTTCCTGATTCTTCTCAGTCTGTAACGAACTTGTGAATTGACCTGGTTTGCATGATTTTAAGTTTCTATCCATGGAGAACAAACTAAAACATCTGATGCAAACAGTTGACCAACTTTTTAAATGCCAAGGAATGCAATGCAACCAGCAGCGCTCTGCACAGAACACAGAACCGGAGGGCCTCTTAGGAAATCTCCGCTGGAGGGCCAGCCGGGGCCAGAGAAGGCCCCTTCCCTCCCGGGCAGGCTGAAGCCGAGCCAGAGGCCCGTGGGTACAGTGCACTGGCCCAGCAGTGGCTTTTTTAGATTCCAGGCCAGTGGCTTCCTGGCACCTGGAGAGAGGAGAGTGAGAGACTGGGAAGTCCCGGCCTGCTAAGCCTTCACTGCCTCCCCCAGAGCCTTCAGAGTTGCCTCGCTAATCCACCAGCCCAGCCAGAGAGGCTTGGACACGCGCCACAGCCTCTGGCCAAACCCCGGCCGGGAATGTGCTTGCCAGCTGCCTCCGCAGAGGGGAAAGGTATCGGTGCCTCCCGCCCCGGGAGCACATGACGGCAGTGCTCCGGGCAGCTGTACCCGTTCCCAGCACAGCTGGTCAGCAGGGCACAGAGGCCCGGGCATAGCTCACCTCTTTTAGCTGCGACTCGAGACTGCCCCCTGCGCTCCGCCCGTGCCGGCTGACCTCCTCAGAGACCCTGGCAGGGACCACAGCCCTTGCGCTTCAGCTCGTTTTGGGGGACAGCGCTAACATCCTCCCACCCCCAGATGCCCACATTTTTTCCATGAACACACGTCTCATTGTGCCACAAGACCTAGGCGAGGCACAATGAACCCGGCTGGGGCCCGGAACTGAACTAGCCCGAAAGCAGTCTGGGTGCGGGCCACCGCAATGCAAACTGGCCGAGGAGGCACAGCGGGACTGCGGAGCCGGGGGCAGCCTCGGGCCACGGCATGGGCAAGCCAGGCTGGTCTGTGCTGCCCAAGGCACTGACGCCACAAGGGCGGAAATGGCGCAGCCCTGGGTATGCCAGGGCCTGTAGGGCAGGCAAGGGCAGTGGCAGGGAGGTGGCCACCCCCCTTCCTGTGGGCCGCCGCCCAGGAGAGAACTGGGTTCATGGCATGTCTTGTGTGGCCTGCCGGCCAGGCACCGGCAGCGGTGACCAGCACTCCAAGGCCCGGCGTGCGAGCACCGGAACCGGGACGCAGGGGGCTGGAGGCCTGAGCGTGGCCCTCTCCCCACCAGGAAGGCGCATCAGAGCACGAAGGGCCAAAGGGCCTGGCGGACTCAAGGACACCTGGTGGTGGCTGCTCTGACCTTGAGAAGGTGCTCTGCATCTCTGCCCCACCTGGCGGCAGCCGGCCCCTCTGGCCTCACTCTACCCTGGGTGGGGGGGCACCACAGAGCTCCCAGGGCAGCCACGATGCCCGGGCAGGACAAACCCGGCCGAGCAGCACCACCCCACACCTTGCAACAGGCAGGCAGTTTCACGTCTGCAAAAAGTCCATTCTCCGCGTGAAGGCTGAGCAAGCCAACTGGGGTTCTCCAAGTCCAGTTACATCTGCAACACCAGAAGACTTCCTAACGTCAGATCCTTTTTTATGGAAGGTTTGGTGACAGGCACACAACACGTTCACTTCACCCACGGAGGAAGCCTGAACGCACCTGCGGTCTTCCGCAGCCCCCTGCAGAGACTGGAAGGGAACGGCCTGGAGCCCGAGAGCCGCCTGTGGCTGCAGCGGCTCCAGACCTGTCCACATGCAGGGCCAGTGTAGCGACAGCCAGATCCCCAAGGATGCCCATGCCGGCTGCCCCAAGCACAGTCTAGGCAAGCCCTCGCCCCACCGCAGGGACACTGGTGCCTCCCCTGGCACCTGGGAACTGAGTCCGCACCTGCCAGGCCCGGTGGCGTGCTTCCTGGGAGCGGTCTCACCAACGCATCCCCAGAGCCTGCCTAGGCTTCGGCGTGAGAACCTCCCACCCCAGAGCCAGCAGAGACCACAGAGCAGATGCGAGGACGGGCAGTAAAATCAACTTTATTTGGCCAATGTGTCCAATTCCATATTGTGACAGAAATGCCTGAAGAAGTGCCAGCGTCTGACTCAACTCCTTCGTGGGTGTCAGCCCCAAGCCTGGGCCGGGGTCCTGGTTCCGCCTGGAGCAGGCCCCGGGCCACGCCGGAGAGTCCAGCAGCCACAGAGCCCAGGACAGGACGAGGAGCCTGGTGCGAGGAGGAACAGCCAGGCCTGTCCCGGGCCCTAGGGCCTGCTATCGCCCGGCCACCTCCAAGTGTGGCCACCCTGACGGGACCCAGTCTCCACCTAGCCCAGGTGTGCAAGAGCTGCGCTCAGTCATGGCCACCCTGGTACCAGGTGCAGAGTGACCATGTCCAGACTGGCTCTGTCCCTCCCTGCATGGGACAGGCGTCTCCAAGGAGGCCTAGCCAAGGTGGAACAAATACCCTGATGTCAGAAATGTCGGAAAATGTCTAAGAATCCCACAGATGGACTTGCTTTAAGTGACAGTATAAACCTCTCTAACAGGAAGGAACCGTGACCAGCGTGAGATTCCGAAACATTTCAGCGCGCGCTCTGGACAAAAACCATGTACAAAAAAGTACGTCACAATTTAAAAAAAGGAAAAAATAGCCCACCAAGATGGGCTGGTCTGGAGATAAATCCCTTTCCAAAAATTGAAAAGCAAGAGGAGGAGACGGGTCTGTTTCCGCGTGTCAGGATGAAGTGTCTCTTCGGAAAGGGTCCCTGGGTTTCCACAACGCCCTCCTGCCGTGAGGCCTGTGGGCGTCCGGGGCGCGCGCTGCGGGGAGAGCAGCCGCCACCGCGGCGCGTGTCTGGGGAGCCAGGCGTGTCCCGGTTATAGCTCGTCCTTCAAAGCTTTCTGGTCGTCGTCTTCCTCCACGTCCGGCTCTTCTGCCTCTTCCAGGTCCTCGAGGTCCTGGGGTGCGGGAAGAGGGTGGGGCAGCTGTGCCGCTCTGCCGGGAACCCCAGCCCGGCCTTCCAGACAGACCCTGCCGACGGGCGCGGTGGGGGTGTCCCCAGCTTGGCACCACGAAGCCTCAGCGGGTCCCCCACCCCACGCAGACGACAGCCCCGCACGAGTCGGAGCACGGCGAGCACTGGGTGCGGCGCCCATGCCAGGCTGTCCGTCTGTCTGCCCTCGATCCGGGCAGGCCTGTCGTCACTTCCCACTTCCTGCCGGCCCCAACTGGCTGTTCACTCCCGGCCTCAGGGGTCCCACCATGGTTGCCAACCCCCACCCTCCGGCCCCAACTCCCCAAGCACGACTGTCACCCCATCTCGGCCACAGGCTGGCCCTGAGGACACAGCCACGCCTGCGCTCCTGGCGCCTCAGCCAGCGAGCTGGTGACGGACACTTGGTCCAGGCTGGCTGGACCCTGTGGGACGCGTCTGGGAAGATTCCCTAAGTAATTTCCGGTCGTTAAAGACACCCTCAAAACCGGGGACAGCCACTTCAGCAGAGCATTGGCGAGCAGGTCCCTCGTCCCCCTGGGCCAAGGTCTGGTCCCCAGAGCCCTGAGAGCCCAGATGGGCCTCCGGTGTCACCCCCAGCCGCTGGGTCGGAGCCCAGAGGGCCGCATGGCAGCACTCACGTCGTCGTCCCCTGCCCCGTCCTGGCCGCCACTCTCCAGGAACTTCTTGAAGCCCTCCAGCGTCCGCTCCCCGCTGTAGTCGATGACCTGGGGAGAGGCATGAGCGAGCTGGCCCCCACCCCCAGACCCCCAGAGGCTTCTCCTCCCCGCACAAGGGCAGGGCTTCTGAAGAGGGGGCCCTGGCTCTGCGCTCTCCTTCCCGCCCCCGGCTGGCGTGGGCGACCCCTCTGCCCCGAGCCGCCCCGGCCCCTCGGGCGCACCGTCCTGTCCGGGCTGGCAGGGAAGAACTTCAGCGTGGGGAAGCTGTGCACTTTGACCGCCTCCACCTCGTTGGCCGTCGAGTCCATCTTGGCGATGACGATGTTTTCGTGGTCCTTGTAGCTCTCTCCCAGCTTGTCCCAGATGGGCGCCAACTGCTTGCAGTGACCACACCACGGGGCATCTGAAAAGAAAGCGGCTCTGAGGCCTGGCCTGGCCCACGCAGCGCCACAGCTCCTCGCGCCATCCGGTGGGGCAGGCGGGTCCGGGATGCCGAGGGAGGCTCCACTTACAGAATTCCACAAAGACGTTCTTTGTCTCGTCAAAGGCGACCTCTTCAAAGTTCTTCCCAACCAGCACCTTGACGGGCTGCTTGTCCCAGTCGTCGGGCAGCTCCTGGCTCATCAGGTGGGGCTGGACAGACAGACCGCGGTGAGGACGGTGCTGCCCGGGGGCCCGTAGAGCCCCGGCCCCCTCCCTGGCCGGGGCTGAGGCTCACGGCCGCCCACACCTTGATCTTGCCCTCCAGGAAGCGGTGGCAGAAGTCCGAGATGGTCTCTGCCGTGAGCTCGTCCGACTCGGGCTTGTACTTGGTCATCTCCTCCTCCAGGGTGATGAGGCGCACGGCTGGGCACTCTTCCTTCTTCAGGCCGAAGAACTCGAGGATGCGCTGGTTGTCGGCGTGGTCGCTGTCGATGAAGATAAACAGGATCTTGGGGAGAAAAGGCACACTGAGACACGCTCCATGGGGACTGGGGGGGGGCCCTGCCCTCGTCACTCCAGTCGGAAGCAGCTCGTGCCCCTCCGGCCCGGGCGCTGGGGTGGCCCGGACAGACCCACAGGTGGCTGGGCGCACAGGGTCTGGCCTGGGGGGGGCCTCGGAAGGTGGCGCTTTGGACACTGCGGGAAGTGCCGTGCCGTCCCCTGGCACCACCCCACCAGCCGGGAGGGAGGACGGCTCACCTTGCCCTTGAAACCCTCGGCTGCCTTCTTGAAGTTGCTCAGTTTGCCGTCGTAGTCCGACACGCTCTTGGGCAGGAACAGCAGGATGTGCGTCTTGATCTCACCTCCGAAGATCTTCGGGGCTGTCTGTGTTACAAAGGTGACTCGCTAGGACTGAGCCACAGACTAAGCTGTGGACACAGAACATTCTCCTGCCGGCCCCCAAGGCCACCAGACACTAGGACCACAGTGCTGACTCGGGGGAGGCCGGTCTCTGGCCCACCCTGGGGCCCCTCCTGCACCATCCCCCCACCGGGGCCACAGGACAGTGGCAGAACCACACCTGCTCGGTGAACTCGATGACCAGGGGCAGCTGGTTGTGCTTGATGAAGTTCAGCAGGTTCTCCTTGGTGACCTCCCCCTCAAAGTTATTCCGGCCTTCGTCAAACTGTGGGCAGAAAGGGGACCCTGAGCCTTGCTGCCATGGCCAACAGCGGCCTGCAGCCCACCCTCCTGCCTGGGAGTGACAAGCCACAGGCCTCCGCAGTGGGGACAGGATGAGCCTGGTCCTTCACAGCCTGGGTGGCTTCAGTATCACCTGCGGCCACTGCTGGGCCCAAAAGTGGTTTCATGCCCACAGCGCAAGCCTGGTGTTCAGAGCCCCCGGCTGCCCTGGCTGCAGGTGAGTGAGGCTGGGACAGCCTCAGGTGACCGGACCCCATCTCACTGCTGCCTCTCCACAGAGCTCAGCCGGGCAAGGCAGGCACCGTGTCCTCTGGACGTGGATGGGGTGGTGAGGATGCACAGGAGGTCCGCTGCCCAGAGGCACGGGGCAGACCCCCACGCACCTGCGCAGGCCCCAGACCCCCATGGGGTGCACAGGACCCGGGACTGGGCGGCAGCCAGCTGCAGACCCGAGCTTCGCCACATCACCACCACCCTCTGCCCACGGGCCCGAGCGCCTCCGCTCCCGTGGGCCAGGGAAGCATCTGGGTTTTATGTAAATTCCTTCCTCATCCCCAAGTTCCTAAAACAGCAGCCCTCAAAGTGTGGTCTACACCCTGGGGCCTCAGAGCCTTGAAGGCGTCTACTTGGTCAAGGCTGTCTTTGCAATCACTCTTGGAGGAGAGCGTCCGCCTCGTCATTCTGTCTCTCAGGAGACCGCGGCTCCAGGGCATGCCCGAGGAACGGTGTCACCAGACGCCAGGAGAGGGGCTGAGACTAGCTGTGTCCCACTAAGCCAGACACAGCAGAAGAGACTGGCAGAAATCTAAAACACACTCTTGCCTCTGAATTCTATTTTTTTTTGAGACAGAGTCTTACTCTGTCACCTGGGCTGGAGTACAGTGGCGCCATCATAGCCTACTGCAGCCTCAAACTCCTGGCTCAGGCGATCCTCCTGCTTCAGCCTCCCGAGTGGCTGGGACTACAGGTGCCACCGCCATGCTCGGCTAATTTTTAATTTTTTGTAGAGATGGGGTCTCGTTCTTGCTCAGGCTGGTCTCGAATTCCTGGCCTCAAGTGACCCTCCCGCCCCGGCCTCCCAAAGTTCTGGGATTACAGGCGTGAGCCACTGTGCCCGGCCCCTTGAACTTCTTCAGTGAGACTTGGAGAAAGAAATTACTCGTCTCCACTCACTGGCCGTTTCCCTTTACTTCCCCCAAACACTCTGATAGCAGGTGCCACGTCCAGCTGTCCGCGTGCATCGCCCTGGTGAGCGCCTGGGCCAGACTGACGCTCCAGCTCCACCAAGGTGGGCCTGATGCTGAAACTAGGCCATGGGCGGCCCCCACTGCGAGCCACGCTCCCCACCAAGCCCATTTCTAAGCCCGATCCATCATCTTCACACCAGTAAACGTGGAGAATGTGAAAAGGAAAAGGCCAGAGACGCCAAGGCCAGGGGACGGTGGGGAGCATCTTTTGGAAAACGAGCTGCTGGTCCCGGCCTGGCTCCATCAGGCCCAGCCCCTGGGAACGGCGCTGAGCCACGGTTACAGGTGACGGAACCACGTCTACGGCTCCCCCCACGGCACCAGGCACTGTCTGCACAATCCCAAGCTGAGAAGCCCCAGGAATGCTGCGGCCACAACTGTCTCGGGGCAGCGATCTTTCAGGTAGTGTTGCCGCATTATACTCATGCGCTGTGTACTTTGGTGAAAAACAGCCCTATTTAGCAGGGGGCAGCTGCAGGAGGCCTGGAGGCCTTGGGCAGAGGTCAACGCTGTCTCAGGCCACAACGGTGAATGTCAGATGGAGGCCAGACACCACAGACTAGAGATGGAAACATGCAGCAAATATCAGAACTGAGAAAGACACAGGACAATTGGCTCTGAAACCAGTGGCCCCATCAGGGACTTGACTCGGCCCCATCCTTCCTCAGGAAGAGAGTTTGGAAAGCGAACAGCACTGGCCTCTCCTGGGAGCCGCCTGCCTGGTCCCATGTGGGAAGTCTAGGTGTGGCCAGGCTGCCCACAGTGGTTCCCCAGGGAGACAGGAAGGCCCAGTTCCCCGTGAAGAAAGGGGTTAACGGCATGAAGGAAATGGGACGTGTAAAGGCTAATTCAATGAAAAAGAACACGGGGCCTGGGAGCACAGGAGCAGCCAGAAACCCCAGGGCCGCCCTCCTCTCACCCTTGGAGGGAGCTCTGACTTCAAACCCAGAGCTCTGACTTCAAACTTCGTCCCCAGATGTCTTGAGTTATTGTGAGGGAGCAAAGTCCACAGCCTGCCAGGCTTCTGCTAGAGGCTGCCCTCGACAAGCAGGGCACCCTGGGTGAACAAGCAAGTGCTGCCCACTGGCACAGTAACCGGGGGGGCTGGCAGTGCCGGGCCCTGAGCGGACACCAGAGAATCGCGGCAGAAGAAAGATGACGCGTAGGAAACCCACACGAACCTGCCACGTGCTCAGTCCCTCGTAGGTAGACCGGGAGACGACCCTAGACTCTAACCTTCAGGGACCCACGATCACCAAACCATCTGCCCAGGTTAAATCAGCCTCTCCGGACACCAAGGGCACCAGGAAGGAGCGTGTGGCCGAGCCACAACCAGGCTTTGCGTTTCCCTGGGCCTCGGAGACGCTCTTCCCTCATGGCCCATGTTTCAGGATGAGGCTCAGGACTGAGGCCCTAGAGCCAGTTCACTCCATCCCATGCACATACCACTTCTTTCCTGGTCAGGTGTCTAGTCTCCCAGGCACCTGCGCAGTGACAAGTGACTAATTTAGTAGCTCTGTTCCCTTTGGGGAACATTGTGGGGATGTCTACTGAGTAGCGTATGATGCCTTGAGTGATTCTGAGGAAGGGGCTGTAGCAACAAGCCAAATGACAAGAGCAAAGACGGGGACAAAGCCATCCCAGGTGCACTTGGGGCCACTCACACTCTGTTCCCCATCTCCAGGAAAACTCGGTCCCAGCCTGTCGGGCTGCATCACACGTGAAGCTCATATGCACGGGAACCTCAGACCCGGACCCACGCCACTTCCAGACCAAGCAGTTGCTCATTGTCTGTCCACCTGGCTGACTGCTCTGACTCTACAGGACAAGAGTCAAACATCCCCTCACCCCAGCCCTGAAGACACCCCCACTCCTCACTCGCTGGGTCCTTCCCCTCCTGTCCCGGGCCACACCTTCCTGTCGGAAGGCACTAACCCCAATCACCGGTGTCCAGGTACAGCTACATCCCAAGAGCATGGCTGCTCAGCCCCAGCCCACCCTCTGGTGACTCAGACGAAAGACAAACCACAGGCCCTGTCCGTAAAGCTGCGCAAACGTGGTTCCTGTGTCCTGATAAGAGGGACACGTGGTTAGGAGACGAGTGACCGAGCATCAGGCTTCCCAGCAGCCCTTTTCCCAAGAGGAAGGAGAACAGGACCAGGGTTGGTGGCCTTCAAAGCCCGGACCTTAGGGGTCGTGGTGCCCTTGGGGGTGGGGGCACAGGTGTGGCTTTGCCCGTGGGCTGGGAACATGCCCCAGGGGGCTAACCCTCCAGAGCTTCCGCCTGGGGGAGGGACAAGTTCTGGAAACAGATGAGTGACAGCTGCAAGACACTGAATGTAATTAATGCCGCTGAACCACACACTTAGAAGTGGTTACAGCGGTCAACTTTGTTGTGTTTACCAAAAGTGGAGAAAAAGCTAACAGCCAAGCGCTGCTCCCATCTAAGGTCAGAGGCTGCCGCCTCCAGCAGCTCCTGGAGTCTGACTACGAAATTGCACGACAGCCCTGGATGACAATCCTGTCAGTCCGAGGCCACAGGGCAAGGTCCTCCCAGCACCAGGGAGAGCAACACCACCCCCTGCAGACCAAGCCCTGAAGTGCCCAGGGTGGAGCTGCGCCGGCGACTCACCTTCTTAAAGAGGACAACCCCATCCTTGTCCAGCTGGTATTTGGAGAACACGTCACTGTTGGACGTGATCCCAAACGGTATGTCATCGACGGCCTCTGCTGCCTGTAAGAACTGCTTGGCGAAGTCCGACTCCACGTCCTGGAAGAGGGAAAACCCCAGGTAGCCATGTGCACCCCCAGGGCCCCTGCCTGGGAAAGCAGGTGGACACCGGGACACATGCAGAACTGCCGGCCATAGGCCATGGGGACCCCTCCTCAGAGAGTGACAGAAGACAAGGGCAACACGATGCTCTAAAGCCTCTACCTTGAAGAAGCCGATGACGGCCACCTCGCTGGACTCCACGAAGGACTCCGCAGCTGCGCCGTCAGACAGGGTGGTGGCGGCCGGGCCAGTGCGCTTCTTCAGCCAGTTGACGATGTCGTCAGCTTCTCTGCCAGCTACACCCAAACAGAGAGGTTCCACTCTCACGCAGGGAGTGCCGCCCAACCTGCCTGGCCATTCCCACCCCAGCTCTCTGCCAGACGGGCTCCGGCACTCCCGACCAAGCTCCTAGAGCGGGATGTCCTCGCCACCAAGAGCCCGACACCCGCCCACCTCCCGAATCCCGCATCCCAGGGTCACTGGATCACAAACCAGTTTTCCTCTCTAATCCCTCCACATCTTCTAAATTTTCTTTGATATCTAAGCACATTAACTGTCACACTAGAAAAAAACATTTTTTTTCCTGGGGCCACAGTGTTTTAGTATGAAAACAGAAAACTTTGAAAATGAAAGGATCATTTCTAATTTAACGAAAAAATATTTCACGTAACTATACTTAGAAAAAAAAAAGAATGAAAAAATTGAAAATAAAAAGAAAACTGTTATTTTTTATTGTTTTCTGTGCAGGAGTTATATGCAACTTGAAAAATAGTTCCCACAGCTCCCAAGGTGAAGAGATGTGTGAGTTACACATGCCTCCTGAGGCCCCAGGCGCACAACCAGCATGAGTTAAATACAACTCACATGGCAGTTAATGTGTTAAGTTCATTAACACACATTGTTCTCCAATGGTCTCACCCCAGTCCTCATCTTAGAGGGGTGGTTCCTAAGTTAAGCTTCACGTCAGTTACCCCCCTGCGAAAACAGGCCCAAACCTACCCTACCAAACACTCCCAGGCCTCAGAACTTACTCCAGGTGGGTCAGGCACCCTTGCCCATGGCACGCCCTATGCACCTCCCAGACCAGTAAGGAGTAAAGGTCACACACTGGCATGCCACCAAAAACAGAGAAAATGAAAAGAAACCTGCTCCTCCTAAGAAGCAAGGCTAAAAAGGATAATTAAAGAATTATTCTTTTTCCCCTCCTAGAGCTTGACTATCTGGTCCAACTTGGGAAAGGTTGTGTTTCTCAGATTTAAAAGGATTCTGACAAGTGGTAACAAAAAGCTGAGTCACCTTTTTGAGTCATCCAGTTACAGGTGGACTTAGGAGTACTTATCTATGAAACCTAAGTGCTAGCGACAGAACCACGGTGACTTTGGACAAAGCACCTCCCATCCCCAAAGTGAATGCAAGTAAAAAACGGGAACATTGAACAACGCAGAGAGAGACAACCACGGAAGCTGGTGACGCTAGCACAACAGGACGCGGTTGCTTAAGGGAATACCACCACTAACGTTCGGATGCGCTGGTTTCAGGCTGCTCACCACCTGGGGCTGAGGCATGTGCCACGGAATGGGCTTTATGGACACAAGAATCTTCTTTTGCCACCAGTAACTGATTTGGCTACAAAGGGGCCCAGACTCCACAACAGCTTCAGAGGCGGCCTGAGAGCAGCTGAGAGCTCATGCTACAGGTGGAGCTGGGCTTAGAATGAGGGCCGACAGGTGGCCCTAACTCAGCTGCTCTAAGCCCCAGCCTTCATCTGTGAAAGGCCCACCTCTGAATCCAACGGGAACTCACACAAGCACCGGGCCCGGCTGGCGACACACCACAGCACAGCTACATGTCATCGTAAGTGATACAGCTACCTGGCTACTCCCAGACACAGGGACAGCTTCAAGACCCCCGTATGGGTGGGCAGAAGGGCACCAGCCTCCCTCTCTTCATTGGCCAATCTCCAGACAGGCCCCAGTCAGTCAGGACATCATAAGACACAAGTCCAACACACTTTCCACCTAAAAGGCTCTTCCGGGATGAGACAACCTTCCTCAGGGGACCCTCAGGGGTGGAGCCAGATGGAGAACCCAATCTGGGAACAGGTTCCCGCCCCACCACTCTGACTTGCTACAGCTAGGGTTTTTCAGTTATCTTCCAAGGCCCGCAAGGCAAATCCCTCCACAGAGGCAATTAAAGGGCAATGTCGCAGTCACACCTGTGTACTCTTTGGGGGAAGCCGTATCTCCATTCTTGAAGAACTTGATTGTGGGGTAGCCACGGACGCCATACTGCTGGGCCAGGTCAGACTCTTCGGTGGCGTCTACCTTTGCCAGCCTGATCTCAGAACCTTCTGCCTTCAGCTTCCCAGCGGCTTTGGCATACTCAGGGGCCAGGGCTTTGCAGTGGCCACACCAAGGGGCATCTGAAAAAGAACACAGGACAGTAGAACGCAGCACTGGACCCAGGCCCCCTCCTTCCCTTTCCTTCTCTTTCAAGGCTTCTCTTCATAGAACCTTGTCTGCTCACCACACCTCTCTGAATGCACAAGGCTGAGCTGACAGCTTGGGGCTCTCAGCAACATCAGGACAGAGGCCACCAGTAACAAACCAACACCAACCCCCCTACTCTGCTACATCACCATCAGCACAGGAAGACAAATCCTTTAATGATTCATAACTTCCTATTACCTGCAGGCAATTGGGGCAAATGTGTCCCTGGAAATTCCCTTTAAGAATTAAGAAGCCAGAAAAAAGTTAGTTAATGCCGCGGTCCTGTACCGAGCAAGAACTAGCTGTGAGTATGTGATACACATGTTCTGAGACTTGGATTTGAAACAGGTTCTTTACAGTGTGGGAACAAGACTGTCTGCAAGGAAGGTCATCAGCTGTGCTGGGCAAAGATCGCCACTCCAGAGACGGAGCTCAGGCCCTGACACACACAAGCAGGGGTCTGAGTTCCAGCCTGCAACACCTTCGTTACAGGTGGTGCGGGCAGAGGACTGGACCCGGCTCGCGCTCTGGCGTCCGCGCGGCTCACACGTCGGTCCCGCTCCCACGCGACGGCACAAAGACACCTCCCTGGCCCGCGGGCGCCCTGGGCACAGGCGCCTCGGGTCCGGCAGGAAGGATGCCCTTCAGGCGGCGGCCCGGCGTGCTGACAGCCGCGCCCGCCGGCTCGGGCCCCCGGCGCGGAGGGGCCTGCTCGCGGCCAGCGCGGCGGCCGGCGCGGCACTCACAGAACTCCACGAGCAGGTACTTGTGGGCCGCCAGCGCCTCCGCGAAGTTGCTCTTCCGCAGCACCAGGACGTGGTCCTCCTCCTCGGGGGCGTCGGCGCCCACCCGGGCCGCCACGGCCAGGGCCAGGCACAGCAGAGCGCGGCTCAGCATGTCGGGCGGCGGCGGGTCGTTCGGTTTGCGCCCCCGGGACAGCGGAGGCGACGAGAGCGCGCAGTGTCCCCGGCCTCGCCTTTATAAATCCGGGCCCAAGGAGCGCCCGGCCCCCGCCCGCGCGCGCCGTCTGCTGCGCGCACGCGCCCTCGGGCTCGCCTACGATTGGCCGGCAGACTCCGGGGCCCACCTTCGTCACGCTCTGATTGGTCGTCCGCAGTAGACCCAGCCTCGAATTCGGGAACTCTACGGAAGCCTCCTTTGCTCTCGCTCAGAATTGGTCGAGGACCTCGCGCTCTCACTGTTCCCCAGCTTCTAATTGGCTCCCGGAGGAGAACTTTCTCTCCTTCGGCTTCTGATTGGTGGCCTCCCCCACACCTTCCGCGGGTCTGGAATGGCTAGTACTTGCATTAGTTTGGAATCTGCGGCACCTGATTGGCCAAGTGATGCGCGCACCCTGCGCATTCCTTCGTCGAACGTGGCATTGGGGCGGAGTCCCCAGGCAAGGGGAGGAGCTACGCCTGCGCCTCCTAAACTCCTCGTGTTGCATTCTGACTGGACCGCGTGTCTGTACCTGGCACCGCCCCCGCGTCGCGGGCCGGAAGCTGGGGTGACGCAACTTCCGGCGCGCGTGTAACGCGTGAGGCGGCTGCTGGTGCAGTCGGAGTCCTCGGTTTGGGCCTCGGTTTTGCCCAGGGCTTTACGTGAGGTCACTCTAGACGCCTGCCGGGAAGGCAAGGAAGGCCGGAAGAGGGAGACCTCCAAGAAGATCGGGACCGCCTGGGCAGCCTGCGAGAGGCCGGGTGGGGGCCGTCGCCGGGGAAGGGCAGGCTCTAGGAAGCAGTGACGGTTGCGCCCAGGGCCCAGCCGCTAGGCCTCCCGTTTATATCCTCTCTCCCCGCTGGCTGCCAGTCCTCTGAAGCCGCCCCTCCCGCCAGTGCTTTCCGGTGCCTTGGTAGCAGCCTCAGACCTCCCGGCCCCCGCACGGCTGCGGGGTACCCTGGGCTCTGCGTCTCCCTCCAGACCCGGCCCCACCGCGCTCCCCAGCCCTTGAGTTGTGGCTAATCCACCTTAGACGGCTGCGAGTGTGAAATGCTCATTAGGCTTCAAAGATGCAGTATTTGGTTAGTAGCTTTATGTCGAATACATGTTGAAATGATGTTTTGTATACATTGAGCTACGTATGTAGTTTTACTTGATTCCTTTTTGCGTTTTAACGTGGCTTCTAGAAACTAAAATTGCACGCGAGACCAGCACTGTATTTCTGTTGGATGGCCGATCTAGAGCCCCTCCCCCCACAGTGCTCTGCCACCACCTTCACCTCCCGTAGCCCCTTCCCACCCCCTTCTCCGGCAACCTTCCCCTCCTTTTCTCCTCATTTTCCTCCCCTGCGAAACTCCACCACTGATTTTTAAAGCTAGCCATCAATTTATAATAACTTGGCAGGGAAAAGGGGAAACACTCCCATGGTAAATGTGCACGTTGACTGTAACAACGTCCTGATTTCAGAAATGGTAAAATACAGAAAAATTTTTGTGTTTTTGAGGGTTTGTATTTGTTGATATATCGTTAAGGGCATATTTCTTACCTTCCTATGTGGAACTCCCTCAACTAGAGTATGAGTTCCTTGTGATCAAGAAAGACTAAGCCCTCTACCCCTCCCCCAAGTGCCAGTAGAGCAAGGGTCAGTCAGAGGTGTTCCTTGTCTCCATGGGGAGACCTGTCTGCTTCCTAGCGGTGACTCTTTGTACAGTCCTAGGAGGTCTGTGAATGTGTGCAGGCACTGTGCTCCAACCCAGCTTGGCAGTGCCCTGGCCTGGAGCTCACCCAGAGAATGGCAGCTCTTCATAAGTAGTTTTCACTGAAGGCACAGTGCCTTCCACTCTCTGGAGGGGTGGAAATTGCTTCAGGCCTGCTGCTCTGTCTCCCAACGATTTTGTGATAGCCATGACCTGTTTCACACACCATGATTTGGGGCCCAAGACAAGACAATTTGTACCACTTGTAGGTATCAGGTATGAGGTCAGAATTCAAATGCCTAGATATTGGGGCTTGTGTTTGTCCACTGATGGGGACAGAGTGAAGGGATTTGACAGTATAATGTTGATTTGCTGGTGATGGTTTGGAGGCAGCTTAGCCCTAGAATTTAATGCTAAAAGTACAAAGGAGAAGTGTTCACACATGATTAGATTAAAACATTGGGACCAAGTGGAGAACACTCTAGGTACACAGACAAGTGTCAGGTAGCTGCAGTTGCATCTCATTTGGGTTGGCTGTGGGCCACCAGTAGCCAAAGCCGAGCCCAGTTAGAACACACCTCCATGCCGGTGACAATCTGGCCAGGGTAGCTCAGGGCAGGGACAGCAGTGGCTGAGTTGACGTGCTTCTATGAAAACCAGGGTGCCCAACTAGGACTCTGGCCTAGGTGGGTCACAGTGTTTTAAACTGATGCCTTGGTTGCCCATCATGTCTCTCAAGGTGCTTCTACCCTCCTTGAATTGACCTCCTGTGCCAACCCATGCAAGAGCAGCAAAGTTAGGTTCTTGTAAAGCTAGTGGTAGGAGGCCTGGTTTGGGCATGGCCTGAGAGATCCCGTCTGCTGTGGTTAAGAGCTGGATAAGGTGTCCTGCCCACTAAAATGTAGGCTGGTTCATCTGAACACCTCTGTAGGCCTCAGCCTGAGGGGAGGGCTGGTGTCTGACTCCTTTTTCTAAGGCCTGCTCACATATCTTCCAAGAGCAACCCTAGGGAAAGAAGGTAGGGTCATATTCACTCTCATGCCCAGGCCCTGTGAGGAGTGTTCCCTTGGGTGTCAGGGCCTACCCGGTGGCTGTGATTCTGGCATTTCTTTGGACCATCACAGATGCTTCAGGACATTCTCCAGGGAGGCTTACGCTTGGAGAAGTCCATTAAATATTTGTTGAGTAATCAAATGTTTGATATCTTTTTTTTTCCTTAGAGACAAGGCAGGCTAGAGTGCAGTGGCGCCATCACAGCTCACTGTAACCTTGAATTCCTGGGATCTTCCTGCCTCAGCCTACTGAGTAGCTGTGACTACAGGTGCACAGTACCACGCCCAGCTAATTTTTTTTTTATTTTTTGATATAGACAGGGTCTCCCTATGTTACCTACATGAGTCTTGAACTCCTGGGCTCAAGTGATTCTCCTGCCTCAGCCTCCCCAAATGCTAGGATTACAGGTGTGAGCCACCACGCCCGGCCTGATTAATACTACTTTTAAAAGTAATAGAGTTCTCAGAACAACTCCCCTTCAGCCCACAGTCTGATCAGAGGTGTTGAGGGGTTAACAGCAAGCTACTAGCAGGCCCTGGGAGGTGCTCTCAAGGCCCTGCCTGCAGTTCCCGCTGCTAAACAGCAGCCCTGCAATGCTGGGAGTCCAGGAGCAGGGTGTGGCAGGTATGGGCCCAGTGGGTGGAAGTGGGCACAGGGAAGGTTCTTCGAAATCACAGCTGGTGATCAGGTGGTAATGTCACAGACTCTGACCTTGCTTGGCCTGGCACTAGCTACAACTGGTCATCCTCAGTGGAAGAAGGGTCCATCTGGGAGTGGCTGAGGTGGAAGCTTGGGGGCTACTAGGAGCCACAGGTGCTGGCTCATGGGGGCGGGGAGGCCAGGCCTTGGAGCACTAGGCTGTACAAACAGGTCCGGGTGGGACCAAGAGGTTCAGGTTAGACTTGGGACCTGATAGACACGTCAGGCACATTCGGCAGGTGCCACCTCATGTTACCCTGCTCCGGGGAGGAGCGAGAACAAAGTCCTGGCTGCTGGCAGTGTGTCTGTACAACTTGGCACTTGGGGTCTGAGTTCACGTGTCTAAAGTGGGGGAAATATGAGCCCAAAAGATTAGGCTTCTGGCTCAACATGTGCCTTAGAAGGCCCTTGCCCTGCAAACCAAACCACTGACAACACAGACTGATCCTGGGTTTGGAGATTTCCCTGGGACTTCTAGGAGGTGAGCTGGGAGAGCTGAGGGACTGGCTGGCCCCCCGGTTGCTGCCTCAAAGCCCACCCCTCCCCAGCAGAGGAATTCGGTCTGTTCAGGACAGGCTCAGGGCTCAGGAGCCAGCCTGACCAGCCCCAGCGAGAGGCTGGTTAGGGTCTTTGCCTCCCGCAGAGTCAGAGCCTAGGGCCTGGCCAGCCTTCCTGGGGCGCTGGCATCTGCTTCTGGGCCAGCTGCGGCAGGAAGGCGCCATTCTGTCTGGGCTCCCAGCACAGGGCCGGCTCCAGGATCAGAATCTGGCTCCTATAGGAGGCTGGGGCAGCAGCTGGGCCTGCGGGACCCAGCCTGGCACAGGTGGATGTCAGTGGTCTAGGAGTCACAGGGGCACTTCCTAGCCCACACCAGCTGCTAAGTCCCTGGCAGGGACCACCCCACTGGCAAGCACCAGGACAGAGGTGGCCTGTGTAGGACACAGCTGCCCAAGCATGAAATACAACCATTTTCTAAAAGGCTCAGACCACAGAGAAGGCAGGTTTTGAAGCTGACATCAGGCCAGCAAACGGGGCGTTTCTGGGACAGACCCTTCATCTTGTGCTGGGGCTGCTCATCTGCCCCTCCCCCACCCAGGACAGGTGGGGAGGGGCCGGCTGTTTGAAGTTAGTGGGGCTTCTTGGGGGTGGTTTTCAGAGAGGCCCCTGCAGACAAGGAGGTCCTGAGCTGGGGCTGGAGCTGGGCTGGCTGGCTCCACAGTAGCCCTGCAGTGCGCCCTACCTGCCTCTGTGCCTCACTGCAGGGCGGGTCCTCTCCACCTTCTCCTGCTCACCCTTAGCCACCTTTCCTTCCTCCTTTAGACACCTGACCCTACCAGGTCCCCGGGTGGGGGCTTGCTTGGCTGGGGCTGTGAAGAGCTGATGACCCTGGAGCTTCTCTGTGGCTCCCACCGTCCCCGGCACTGACTTCCTGCCCCAGCCGAGGACTTGCTCAGGCACACCATGGCCACTTCTCCCGAGGGCTGCCCCACAGCTTGGGGCTGCAGATCCAGCTGTCCCATTCACTCCAGTACCATCTCTGGTGAGGCTCCTGGCCCTCCAGTGAGGCGAGGGCTGCACTCAGGACCCCGGGCGGGCACTAGAGGGCGCACTCACTGTAAGGCCAATTCTGGAGTCTTTCTCACCCCCCCAGCCCTCAGGCCCTCTGCACCTGTCTGAATCCCAGGACTCCTGCTCCAGGGCCAACACTGTAACCCTTGGCTCAGCATCCCCTCTGCAGAGCCGCACCACCAGTTGCACAGTTCTAGAAGTGTGCCCCCTGATGGTAGCCGGTGAGCCCCTAACCTCCCACCCAGACTCCGAGACGCCAACCAGCACAAACACCCCCAGCTCCTTCAGGGGCGTTTATTTCCCGGTCAGAAAGGGAGAAGCAGGGACAGGCACCTCTGCCTGTTGAGGCCTGAGCCTGGCGGACGCTACACAAAAGACCGGGGAGGGGAGGGAGGCACAGGAGATGGCTCCCAACTGTGTGCACTTGGTCCCATTTGTCCTGTCTGGGTCCAGGGAGGACCTGCCGGGGGAGGGTGGCACTGAGAGCCTGGGGGCAGAGGTGGCAGGCCAGCTGGCCCAGAGGACGGCACATTTGGAGGCAATAAATACTGACAGGCCAGGTACACGATTCCAGGCGGGACGATAAGGCTCGGCCACTGGCTTTGTCTGGGCTCTCTGTTGGGGGGTGGCTCAGCACCCCACTGGCACAGAGAAGGCAGAGGCGTGAGGACACGCGGCCTCCCAGGTGGGACTGGAGGCTACTTGAGTTTTGGCAATTTGGCTTTCCCCAGGCGGCCGGAGCCCTCCCGACAGCCCTGGCTGGGGCAGGGGAGGGGCTGGCCAGGCCCAGCAGGCTGGGAAGCCGTGGCATCGCACCCCCACCCCACCTCCCGGACCACCGGAGTTGTGGACAAGGCAAGGACAGGGAGACCACATGCTCATGCAGACACAGGGTTAGAGGTTAGTGCGGCCCCCACGGCACGTTCCACATGTTAAGGCATCATGGTTAGACGGAACCGACAGCGATGGATGAACCGGCGGGAGTGTGGGGCTGGAGAGCGCCGCCCGAGGGGCCTGCCTGGCAGCCCAGCTCCACGCTGGGCGGGAGGGTGTGTGCCTATGGACCCGGCAGGATGCTCTGCTCCCTCGAGAGCCAGGGCCTCAGGCATGACAGGTAGAGGGGACCCGGAGGGACACAGAAAGGGCAGCAGAGGCTGGGCCGGAGCCTCTCTCCCCCACAGCACAGGCAGAAGCAGCAACAAGACACGAGACCACCGAGGAGGCTGGGGGCCTGTGGGCTGGAGGGCTGGGGGGGGCGGGCAGAGGAGCTCCGGCTGAGCCAGACCCAGAGGCAGACCAGGGTGGAAGTGACGGCCGGGGAGGGGCCCTGTCAGCACTTTGGTATGGGGTGGGGAGGGGCTGGGGTGGAGATGGGGCACGTCCGTCTGTCCGCCTGTCCGTCCGCCCTGCCCGCCTCCCAGGCTGGGGCTCAGTCCTTCCACTCCTTTTTGATGGTAAGATTCCACTCCCAGGAAAGGTGGTCAGTCTTGTCATCGTCTGTGAAGCGGGACTTGATGTTGTAGCTGCCGCGAGCCAGCATGCCCTTGGGTGCCTCCTCCATGGGGGTCAGGAACTCATACTCCTCTGCCCGAGGCCCGTAGCTCCCCACCATGTAGTCGGTCTTGTCAACTGCGGGCCACAGGGAAGGGGGCGGTCACCAGCGCTGCTCATCCGCCCCCAGAGTGGGCACACCTGGGTTGCCCCCCATCCCTCCACCGACCTCTCAGGGCCTCACTTACTCTTGACGCCTTTCCTGTACGTGTGCTGGAGATACTTCATGCCGGACACGATCTCCCTGTTCACCTGGGGGGGGCCCAAAGCTAGGGTCAGCTAGGGTCAACCATGGTCTCCAGCCCCTCACTGCCTCCAGAAGCCACCGCCTTACCCGGAATGAGATTTTTATCCGGTATTCCACACCCTCCTTCAGCACAAAGGATTGCTTCTTGAAGCTCTCCAGATCACCTGTGTGGAGACGAGGCTCAGAGCCACCCAGCTGCCTCCAAGGACTCCCCCAGCCCCACACAAAGCCAGAGCCTCCAAAGACCGCTTGGCCGCACCTCCTCTGCTGCCCACCAGAGGGCGCCAGTGCTCCAGGAAGTTATTTTTAGGGGAAGCAACAGGACGCAGCGAGCCCCACCCATAGCCTCCCCCGACTCACCTGTCAGGTCCAGCTCCAGGGGGCCTGGGGCTGAGCTGCACACCAGGGTCAGGCGGGTCACGATGACATTGGGGACGTTGGGGTCTGGGGAGTGACAGCAAGTGAGATCCCACCCCTTGCTCTTCCCTCTGCCACCAGTGGGGGAAGGGCAGGGAGCAGCCACAGGGCTTCCTGCTGTCCCAGACTCACCTGCAGAGACAGCTACGCGGCCCAGCAGGGCCTCCTTGTACTTGCGCAGGCTCTCGTCGTCCTTGTCCAGCTCCTGGATCTCCTGGATGCTCTTCTGGGCTGGGGGCTTGTAGTTGACTGAGTGCTCATCCTCCTCATTCTCAGCCGCAATCTGTGCCAGCTGCTCGGCCGTAGGCTCCTGCTCAGCCATGCTCACCTCTAGCCTGGGTCTGTGACACCTGTGGGCGGGGCGGGGCTATGGCAGCCTGAGGGGCAGGTTGTGCTAGCAGAGCCTCACCAGGTGGCAGGCAGGCAGGCCTTGGAACCTGGGCCCCAAAGGGAGGTGCAGGAGGGTTGGTTCTGGAGAACTTCACAAAGGGCCCAGAGGACAGGTTACTGCGACTTATGGGGCCACACTTGCCTCCCCCCAACCTCGCCTACCTTGGGGGTGCTCTTGGGGCAGTCTGAGGGCCCCAGCCCAGGTATGGCATCCAGGACTATGTCGGAACTGCAGCCCATCACCAGGGATACAGGCCACACCTCCTCCCCCAAGCAGAAGGCATGCAGGGGGGGCGGCGGATACCTGGCCCCAGACCCAACTGGCAGGGCGATTGGTCTCTAGAGCCCTGCTGCTCTGAGCTACTCAAATCCCCTTGCCCTATAGGACCCCCCCTAGTGGGTACCAGACCCGGGTGTCCCAGACAACGGATGCTCCTTGGACTAGTCAGGGACACAAGTCTGTTCTGGCTCAACCTGCAAACACAGGATGCTCCTAGAGCTCAGAAGTCAGGGACCAGCGAGAGTCCCACAGGGGTGCAAAAAGGCACAGGGATCCTAAGTGTTTTGAGGTTCCCTCCAGTTGTGAGGGTCTGTGACCTAAACCTTAGGACTGCTGCATCCACTCAGTATTCTCAGGACAGCCTTTGTAGACCCAAAAGTGCCCGGTGCAGCACTGACCCAGCAGAGACCTCGGCGGAAAGCAGCCGCAAGGCTTCGTCAGGCCCTGATCCTTCCCGGCGGCGTGGGAGGTGGGTCGGGGCGCAGCCCACCCCAGGAGAGAGACCCACCTACGCCCCAGACCTTCCCCCGCCACCCGCCCAAGCCCCGCTGCTTCCTCCGGGCGCTCCCGCCCGGACGCTCCCCAGCAGAGCACGGCCGCAGGCGACTCAAACCGGGGCGCGGCCCGCACTTCCGCAGGGCCCGAAATCCGAGTGCTGGGCGGATGGCGCCCCACCCCTGGATGCCCCCGGGCGCGATGACCGCGGCTGCCCCGCCCGGCGCCTCCATCCCCGGGAAGGGCGCAGCCGACCGGGCCCTGGCCCTGCGGCGCCACGCGAGACGCCCACCGCAGGCCACCCGCGCTCCCCAGCCCCCGCCCGCGGCGCACCACCCGCCCCGGGCCCGCACGTGGGGCCGCCGCCCGTCCGCGCCCCGCCCAGGCCGCGCCGCCGCCGTCCCCGCCCCGGCCGCGGGCGCAGACGCGGACAAAAGCGGCCCCCGCAACCCTCCCGCGCGGCGCCCGCCCCCGCCGCGCCGCGGCCCCCACCCCGCAGAGCCGCTCACCGGAGGGTCGGCCGCGCGGCTCTGGCTCCCTCCCGCACCGAGTGACGAACGTCGTCGGCCGCCGCCCTCCGGCCTGTCACTTCCGGGGTCACGCGACTTCCGCTGCCCGGGCGGGGCCCGGCGGCGCGCGTGCGCGGCTGGGCAGGGCGCGCCGCCGCCATCTTGCGCGGCTGAGGCCTGTGGGCGCGTCCTCCGTGGGGATCGATGTTGTCACACTTCACTTGGAAATACCCTTAGCCGTCGCCTTTGTAAACAAGACATCCCGTCACTCGAGCCTGGAGCGCCCCTCGGTCCCGCCGGGCCTCAAGATCGGGCCTCTTGCCGCGGGTCGTCCGTGCGCGCCCACTCGAGGCCCGCGGGCGCCGTGGAGAGCGGCCGAGGTGCGTGGGCGGCCCCAACCCCGCCGGTCCGCCTGCGCCTCTGGGCGTCGGGGCTTGTCCTTGTGTCCCGGGACTTTGGGAGTGAACGCTGGACGTGGCGTTAAGTTCTCACCCAGCCCCTGCGCAGGGGCTTCTCCTGCCAAATCTAGGCTCCCGCGCATGGCGGCCCCCTCCATGCGTGCCTGTGCTCCCCAGTGACTGTCCCCCCACGGGTGGAATCCCCCATGGCTGTCCTCCTCAATGACTGTCCCCCACGCGGCTGTACTCCCCAGTGACTGTCCCCCACACGACTGCCTGCTTCCCAGTGGCTGTCCCCCAGCACAGTTGTGCCCTCACATGGCTGTTCCCCCAGCACACTGCTGTACCCTGAGTGTCCCCTTAGGTGCACAAGGTGGTGTATGCCAGGGCGGAGCCTCACGCTCCAGCAGTCCTCTTGGAAGCCTGGTCCATGCCTCAGGCTTGCTGGAGGGCACAGCTGGGGCTTTTCCTTCCAGACTGAGTCACAGAATTGTTGGGGACTAGCCCGCTTGGCCACCTCACACAAGAACCACTGCAGAGAAACTTCTGTCCCTGTGGAATTCCTGGGCTCGTTCAATGTGGAGGACGCTCCTGCCACCATGAGCAGATGATGTGGCTGTTTCAGCCTGGGGGTTACCATCTCCTTTGCTCCACTTGATCAGAGATATCAGACATTTGCCCAAACCAAGGAGCATTTTGGAGCATCAGGAGAGGCCACATGAAACATGGGTGGCCGGGCCAAGCCACACTGCTGCTCCTCTCCCTGCTGGGGGCCCAGTCCCTAAAGGCTCCACACCAGATATGAGGGTGCTGTGTGTCCCCCAATCCCTGCCCTGCAGCATTTGTTGGTATTAAAGTAACATTATAATGGACTCTTGCCTATTTAATTACTTCCTTATTTATTTATTTTTGAGACAGAGTCTCACTCTTGCTCCGGCTACAGTGCCGTGGCATCAGCCTAGCTCACAGCAATCTCAAACTCCTGGGCTCAAGCCATCCTCCTGCCTAAACCTGAGTAGCTGAGACTACAGGCATGTGCCACCATGCCTGGCTAATATATATATATTTTAGTTGGCAATTAATTTCTTTCTATTTTTAGTAGAGACGGGGTCTCACTCTTGCTCAGGCTGGTTTCGAACTCCTGATCTTGAGCAATCCGCACACCTTGGCCTCCCAGAATGTTAGGATTACAGGCGTGAGCCACCACACCCAGCCCTTTATTTTTAATTTTAGAGACGGGGGTCTCTCTGTTATCTTGGCTGGAGGGCAGTGGTGCAGTCATCGCTCACTGCAGCCTCGAACTCCTGGGCTCAAGTGATCCTCCCACCTCAGCCTCCCCAGAGGTTGGCTTCCTTTAGTTTTTTTGTGCCATGGCAAGGGAAGGTTAATGTTATTTTGAACCTTTTATTAAAACAGAAAAACAGCTGAAGAGATGTGAGTGCCGGACACAGGAATGGCCATACTCAACCCCAGGAGCAGCCCAGCAGAAGACAGAAAGAACCGTGAAAACCACACCTCACAGCTTAACAGTATTCAGACACTGTGGCCCAGTGAGGTCACTTTTAGGAATGTATCCTATAGAAATAACCTTGGATGTGCATAAAGGTTTAGTCACAAGAACATGTTTATTGCAGCATTTTTATAACATCAAAAATGTTAATAACAGATTTGATAAACACAGTGGAGCCATATCCCAGACCACTGCCCCGCCACACCACACCTTCTGTTACTCACATGTTCTATACGGCATCGTCTTACATGTTGCTTAAAAACTCTTTGATTAGGGCCAAGAGCAGTGGCTCACGCCTGTAATCCTAGCACTCTGAGAGGCCAAGGCAGGAGGATCGCTTGGGCTCAGGAGTTTGAGACCAGCCTGAGCAAGAGTGAGACTCTGTCTCTACTAAAAATAGAAAAAAAATTAGCCGGGCATGGTGGCGCATGCCTATAGTCCCAGCTACTCGGGAGGCTGAGGCAGGAGGATCCGTTGAGCCCTAGGAGTTTGAGGTTGCTGTGAGCTATGATCAAGCCATTGCACTCTATCCAGAGTGAGAGTGAGGCTGTCTCAAAAATAAACAAACAAAAAACAACCCTTTGATTAGTGAAAACTTGTCACATTATCTGGTTTTGTTTTTTGTTTTTTTTTTTTTCCCTTTTAGAGACAGGGTCTTGATCTCCAAAATGCTGGGATTAAAGGAGTTTGCCACTGTACCTGGCCTATTCAAATAGAAATATTTAATGATATAAAAGGACAATTTTCTGTTATTTTTAGAAAGACAATTTGTAGAGCTTTTTGAGGAATAATTTACAAAATTCACTTGCTGAAAGTCCACAATTATTTCTAGTAAAATTGTGGGGTTGTGCAATCATCACCCCAGACTTTCTTTTGCGTGGTTTGTAGTGATGTCCACTCCCTCCACCCGAACCCCCCTTCCATTCCAGGCTCGGGCAACCATGGACCTGCCTTCCATGCCTGTAAATTTGCTTTTTTCTGGATGGTTCATGTGAGTGGAATCTCACAACACGTAGCCTTTCATGTCTGCTGATGTCACGTAGCAGAACGTTGCTGAGGTTCATCCACATTGTAGAGAATTGTGAGTATACCACATTGTATCTAATCACCAGTTAATGGACATTGGATGGTTCCCTTAGTCCATTATGAATAATGCTGCTATAAACATTTATGACCATTATAAACATCACACTTAGCCTTTAAGTGAATGCGTTTTCATTTCTCCTGGGTAGATTCCTGAGTGGAACTCCCCAAATGTTTTCCAAAGCGCCTGTGCCATTTTACAACGTTGCCAGCAGTATGCGAACATTCCAGTTAGGAACACTCTTGCCAACACTTGCTATTGTCTGTCTTTTTTATTTTTGCTATCCTAGTGAGCCTCTTTTCAACATGTGATGCTGGGACGAAGGGATATCCTTATCCACAAAAAATATTGAACTCACTCCATACACAAAGATTAATGCAAATGTATCTCATTGTGGGTTCAATTTGCATTTCCCTGATGAAGATTTTTCCTTGGCAAATACCTATTTAAGGCTGGGCACAGTGGCTCACACCTTTAATCTCAGCACTATGGGAGGCCAAGGCGGGAACATAACTTAAGTTCAGAATCAAGTTCAGCCTGGGCAACACAGTGAGACCCCCATCACTACAAAATTAAAAAATGAGCTGGGTGTGGCGGCACGTGCCTGTAGTCCCAGTTACTTGGGGAGGATGAGGCAGGAGGATCCCTTGAGCCCAGGAGTTGGAGGCTGCAGTGAGCTATGATCTCATCACTGCACTCCAGCATGGGTGATGGAACAAGACCCTATCTCAAAAAGAAAAAACCTATTTAAGTCTTTTGCCCATTTTTAATTGGGTTGTCTTATTATGAGTACTTATATATCCTGTACACAAGCTCTTTATCAGATATGATTTCTAAACACTTTGTGACTTCTCTTTCATTTTCTTAATGACATATTACAATTTCAGCTTATAGTCAGGTCTACAATCCATTTGGGTTGATCGTTGTGTATGGCAGGAGATGTGAGTCAAAGATCTTTGCTCTGTAAGGACATCCATTTGTATCAGCAACACATGTTGAAAAGAGTAATTTCCCCCATTAAACTGTCTTGGCACCTTTGTTGAAAAATTTTCACCACAAATTTAAGAGTTTATTGCTGGACTACTCTGTTCCATTGACATGTTTGTCCTTAATATTGTAATTTCTCGATTACCGTAGCTTCGTAGGAAAATTTGAAATCAGCTAGTTATAAGTCTTAAATTCTTTTTCAAAATTGTCTTGCCTACCCTAGGTCCTGTGAACTTTTTAGATCTAGGCCGGGAGTGGTGGCTCATGCCTGCAATCCTAGCACTCTGGGAGGCCAAGGCAGGCAGATTGCTCAAGGTCAGGAGTTCAAGACCAGCCTGAGCAAGAGACCCTGTCTTTACTAAAAATATAAAAAATTACAGACAGAAGGATCGCTTGAGCCCAAGTTTAAGTTGCTGTGAGCTAGGCTGATGACACGGCACTCTAGCCTGGGCAACAGAGACTCTGTCTAAAAAAAAAGATCAGCTCTAAATTCCTACAAAAAGTCTTACTGGGGATTTGATAGGGATTGTGTTGAATCTATAGAAAAAGTTGGGAACAACTGCCATCTTAATATTATCTTCCAATCCATAATAGAATTTTTGTGCATTTATTTGATGTTCTTAGTTTACAGGTCTGGTACTCTATTGTCAAATTTGTTCCTAAATATTTTATTGTTTGATGCTAACGTGAATGAAATTTTCTTCATGTCATTTTTGGGTTGTTGATTTCTAATATATAAAATACATCTGATTTTTGTGTATTGATCTTATATCCTGCAACTCTGATAATTCTTTTACTAGTCTGTGGCATTCCTTAAGGTTTTCTACATATAGAATCATTTCATCAGAATGAAAAACAACTGGTTTCACCTTGTCTCAGATAGGATGATAAATGACTTTTGCCCAGGCTGAACTCAAAACTCCTGGGCTCAAGCAATGTTCTTGAGTAGCTGGGATTACAGCTGGAAGTATTTCTGTAAACTGCCCATTCGTGTCCTTGTATGTAAATGTTTCCCAATGTTCTGTTTGTCTTGATTTTCTTGGTACTGCTTGATTTACAGAATTTGTTAAAAGCTCTCCCTGCTCTGCAAACATTGGGGTTCTTATTTTTAATCTAATGATACCATGAACACACCTACAAAACTGACAGTGCTTTCTTAGTATCCTTTTCCCCGAGTCTCAAAGCTGTCTTGTTCCAGTTGCTTGCCCACCGAGGCCTGGGCAGAGTCCACATGGATGGTCCCCAGTGCCCACTTTCATCTCTTCTGTGCCTGGTGCCACTTAGGTGCCCACAAGTCCAGATAGCTTGGGGAGAACGTCCTGTGTCCTGGATTTGCCGGCCAAATCTTCCAGGTATCCTGTGGTAGCCCCTTCCGTCCATCCCGAGCTCCTCAACAGGTTGGGCTCAAGCTCCAGTATCAGAGGTGGTGCCATGAGCTTCCACTGTGTCACCTCAGGGATACATCTGCTGCTGATGTGCAGTAGGTTCCAGGAAGTTGGGCTGGTCCATCCGTTACCAATGGCCCCTCAACTTTTATTGTTTCCAACTTGCATCAATTTAGCAGGCATTGCTAAACAGTGATTTTCTAATTATTTTTCCATTAATTAGCTAGAATTCTTTGAAAGAAAAAAAGAATCTCGAACCTCCTGTCACCACTTAATTCCCCCCAAATCAGTTTGGACAGAAAAGACAAATTAAATGCCCAATTCTTTCCTTTTATTTGCCAGTGTTTAGAATGAGTCAGTGCCCTGGGAACCTCCAAAAGTAAACATTAGATGTTTCTTCTTAAGCATCATTATGAACTCTTGGGTGTTTATACAATTCAACATGAATTTCTTTTAAAAAACAAATATTAAGTCTAAGATATCATTAATAGTAACTTGAATGACTTGTTTAGGAAGGATTCATATATTAAATAAAACTTGTATGCTCACATTTTTATATATAGGTATTAATTTATAAGAAATTAACATAATAGAACATTTTATAGTGTTTCTACAGCCTGCAGAGATTAACATCAAGATTAACTCTGGCCTAGCTTAGGCTACATGATCACAGACAAGCCGATGTATTTAAAATGAAAGAGATTTATCTCTTGGTACTCTCATGGCTTTATTTTTACATTAAAATCTTTAATGATGTATTATTATTGCTATTTTCCACCAAATGGTTGGCCAGTCAATCCCAGGGTGACTTGTTAATAAATAACAGCCAAAAAAAGAATGTAAATCATATAAACATAATTTAGGAAAATCATACAACCTTATAAAATTCTGTAATAACATACGTAA